GACTGCAGATTTCTACCCAAACAGCAAAGCATGGGGTTTGATGAGATTTTGCTATCACTGTCTAATAAGTAAAAGTGAGTTTGGCTGTTTATAACATCTAATACGTTTTCCTATAAGGAAAGAGGAAGCTCACACAAAGTGGAAATACTTATCATTTTTATAGGAAGCATTCAAATTGTCTTAGAGGCTTATCCTCTGAGCTGCAGCGTCTGCCTGGTGTACAGTACAGTTCATTTTTGGTCAGTGCAGAACTAGCTGGCAGTAAAGACCTGAGCACCAGTAAAAACTAGGTAGGCTTTCTGACTTGATACGAAACACTGTAATTTCTCTTTTTTTTTTCCCTTCAACCTGTTCTAAATTGTAGTGAATGTGATTAAATATGCTCCATTTTCATCTTATAGCCAAACTCATAGCTCTACTCTGGAGTAAGCAAAGATGTGCTCCTAGACAGAATACCCCACCACACTTTGACTTATGGATAGAGCAGTTAGTTTGTCTTTAGCAAGTGAATAATTAACTTAGAATAGGATTGTGCAAAGTTGTCAGAACAAACACAGTTTCTTTTACATTTAGCTACAGATGGATGCAAAGGAGGCTTCAGTACGTTTGTTGCATTACTGATTAGTTTCTTTCTGTACTACTTCATTCAAAATTATTTATGAGGATTACTATTTCACAGGAAGCTCTAAAGGAAACAGAAGAATGCGAACAAGAAATTGAAAAGTTGAAACAATTCTTAAAGAACCACTTGGTTGAAATATCACATGAAGGTCAACCACTGGCTCAGAAGACTCATTGTCCAGAGGTGGGTTTCACTGTTTTCTCTCTCATGTCTGTTACTTGTCCTGACTAACACTAATCATGACTCTGCAGAGCACGGAGAAATAGCGCTGTGCTTCCCCTCGTCGCCACAGGCAAGCAGGCAATTGAATGCCATAGCGTGACTATGCATACGTAAGTTGACACATGCAAAGAGATATTACAATTAATATTAGTTTGCAAGTTGGGTATATCTTTCATAGTATACTCCTTACTGACTTTGATGTGTCATTTGTACCTTTATCAACTGCTAAGGAAAATTTAGAGTGCTGTTTTCATGACAGCTGACAGCTGTTCTGGTGAAACAATGTGCCGCGCTGATAGCTTGCCTGTGCCCAGCAGCCTGCTAATGTTGCTGAGGCAGCAGCTTGGGATAGTGCATCAGGAGAGAACTGAGTCCATTTCTGATTTACTGACCACATAATGGTACTTTGGGTGATTCTGGTTAGGATTAGATTCTTTAGACTCCTTTCCTCGTCCTCACTGCCACACTGTGTTTTCATCAACTGATAAACATGCATTGCTTTTCTCCTTGCAGCTGACTGCTTTCTGTGATGGATTAATTGACTATTTAATGCAAAAATAACTAAACATGCATTGCTTTTCTCCCTGCAGCTGACTGCTTTCTGTAATGGATTAATTGACTATTTAATGCAAAAATAAGATGTGTTCTAAGGACAGCACTGCAGAAGTCAGGAAATGACTAAGTGTAATAACTGTTTGTAAAGTGCCTCTGAAATGCTCAGCATTTTGCAGTCAGTTGCAATGAAGTTAATACACATACATTGTACTTGCCTAATAACTTGGTAGGCTCCGAAGTACAGAGCTGCTCTGTTTTCAGGTGGTTGGATGTTGGAGGCTTGATGCTAGTACTAAGCATGACTCATTTCCTGATTCTTACTTGTTTTTGTCTTTGAGTGTAGGACTTTCTGTTTTAGAAGAAAACCTGCTTCATAATTGTAGCATTTGGTGAATAGAAGTGGGCAATGGAATTGCCTATCTTATGGAGGGGCTTCAGATGAAGAAGCAATGTTGAAGATTTGGTTTCTGAGGAGGTTTTTGGCTAGTTAAGTTTGCAAAGCAGTAGCTGATAAATGTATGCTGTAAAGTCTCCTCCTGCAATGAAACAAATAGAAATCCTGTTCTTAGTGGACATTTATAAAAATATGCCAAATTATCACGGATGGCTGTTTCTTCATTCCAATGACTTTTTCTTTCCTCTACTTTTGGAAGATTTTACCTTTTGGTTTTGAGTGTACAAAAGGAAAAAACATCCTTTTCTGAGTGGAGTTCCTATGTCCTTTGAAAATTTGCTGGGGTTCCTGCCTCCACCTTCGCCATCATGCAGCCACACTGGTGTTAGAAGAAGCTGTAGTCGAGACAGAACCAGCAGTCTTATTGCTTTCATCTGTCACAGATTTTTACTTGCATAGCATTATTCACACCATTAGAGAGCACGGTGTGGAATCAGTGCTGTTATTATTTCAAGCCTAGCATCAAAGCTTGCTCTGATGGACTGAGCCCAGCGTGCAATGGGATATATAACCACGTTTCAATTTTCCGAACAAGCAACAATGCTTCAAAGAGCTTTAGCACTTTCAGTAATGAAGTGAGTGGGACATTTTATTTGTTGCCCTGTCTTACTCTGCTATTTGTTGCACTTTTTTTGCTCACCTGGAAACTAGGTGGTAAGGAAAGGCACTAGCAGTAAGCTCTCAGGGCAAAACATCAGTGAGAGCAATAGTCGTGGCCAGGGAGGAGACCAAGACAGATTTCTTTCCCCTCTTTATTATTGCAGAGTTACTTGGGTTATTGTTTAATCCCTGCAGAACATTAAATATTTTCCTTGCATTTTGTTGGGGGCCATTGCTCCCAATATGACATTCAAAGACATGGGATAGTTTTGTCCCTAGCCATGTCACTAAAACCCACCAAATGGTTTTGTGTTTCCTTCTTTTAGGCCAGCTTAAGCAAAGACGACTCAGCCCAGAGCCACCCTTATTGCTGTCTTTGCCCTAACCAAGGCTATCCCAAGTGTTTTGTGTCAGGTTTCCAGAGACGGTAGTTGGAAGTAACATCACCTGCTCTGACACACAGAGTAATGTCACCCAGCTGCATTCCCTCTGTCCTGAAGGAAACTCGTATTGCCATGGCTATGCAGGACCTAGTTACAATTAGTTGTCCAGCCTTTCACATTTCCTTCCAGACTACCAACTTCTGCATTACAGGCAGGAAGTGCTGTCCTGAGCTGAATCTGTTGCTGCTGTTTTGCATGTGTCTGGACATCTCCTGCAGTGGCAATGGGCAACTGTCCCAATGCCCTGAAAAAGGAAAAAGGGCAAATAGCCCCAGTCTCAGTAAGATGCATCAATGGTATTATCTGTTACATTACTGTTTGGTTAAGTAAGAAAAATGGATGCTTACAGATGTTGTTACTCCTTAGGGAGAAATGGAAGCTGTAAAAGAAGAAATCATAAAGCTGTGCCAAAGAAAGGAAGATACCCTTACCGGGATGAAAAATTCAATGTCTGAGCTTCGCCAGCGCTTACAGCAAGAGGTGCCTGAATCAGGAGATGAACCCACAGCCTCTGTATTAACACAGAGTGATTTGATTGGGACTGATGTTTCTGGTCAGCAGGTAAGCGGAGCAGCACGTTGTGATCACTTACCCAAGAGCTGAAGAGGGAAGGTAAATCACTCTCCTTCCTCCAGGAGGAGTGGCATGTGAGAGAGGAGCACCCCTGCAGCTGTGAATCAATACTACTTCTCCTCCCCTTTGTGCTTCCGAATGGTCCCAGGAGGACTGAGTATGATGCGTGTCTAGGAGAAGGCAGGAGAGGTGTGCCTCTGGTTATTTTTTAGCATAAGCAGATTCAACATGAAGTTTGCATCAAGCAATCAACAGCAAAATGCTCAACGTGTAGTTTTGTGATAATCAGTTGTTCTGGGATTTTCGATAAATTGTTTTCATGGAACAAAATGAAATTTGTCCCAATTTTAGCTGTGATGTTGAAACATTACAGCGTAGGGAAAAGTCCCAATTTATAGTACCTATAGCTTTCAATTACTTTAATGTAAGGTGGCAGATGTTCAGTGCTTCTCTAAAAGTGGACCCCAGGTGGTAACTTCCCTTTGGTTTACAGGCAGAAGAGGCTTTACTGTTTTTGTGATGAATAATTGGACTGTCTCTTTCTGTGCATTTTTGTAGTTGAAAAAAAGAGGAATGATGTTTCTTCTACCTTCCTTAGATGAAGAGTCAGAAGACAGTTCTTTCCACAGCAAGGTGAGTTCAGTATGTATCTTCTATATACAGCTGTGTATGTAAGATACAGGATTTGGGTACAGGACAAATTATGAAGAATGTGTAAATCCAAAACACTTCAGAACGAATTGAAATATCTCTTATCACTCCAGGATGCTAAGAAACTGTACTTGAGCCAGCCTACCAATATTACAATACCAGTATTACACAGCACCTCATTCTATGATGTGTGATCCTGCTTTTGGTGGGATTGTTTATACAGTAATAACCCCTTTATGGAAGAGTTAGTGGCAAAATAAGGGCCTAAATGCCAGGGTTTATATGTGGGGGTGGGGTTCAGACAGAATTAGACAACCTCTGAAGTGCTAAAACTTAGAAGAAACAACCAAAATTATTTGTAAGTTTGAACTTAAGAAAAAAAGGCCGTGATCAGACTATTGGGAATGAAGTGAAGATAGGAGAGATTTCTGGGAGAATGGGAGAAACTGGGAGACATTGCTCAACAGCTTGCTCTGAGTCTGGGGAGTCTGAATGCCCAGGTGAACTGCAGAGGAGCAAAACTGGGAGTAAAGTTTCATGATAAAGTTAATAGTTTTTGGAAAAAGAAAAAAAATAAAAATCCACTCTCCTGCAGCCTAAGGACTAAACGAGATGTATTCAAATGAAATTAGGAATGTGCAGAAGGTGCAGTTTTCTTTACATACAGGACTTTTTAGGGGACAGGACAGGAGAAAGATTGTTTCTTGGTTTTGGTTTTGTTTTTTTTTTAATTAGTGTGAAAAAATGAGGATACTCTGAGGTCTCTAGAGAAAACCCTCAGTGTCATCCAGCTGCCATTCATCTTGGAGCCAAGCTATAGAGCAAGGGAAGAGATGGGATTTGGGAAACATGATAAAGATAGATAAACAAGGCAGAAATAAAGCAAAGTGTTACTAAAGGTTTGCAGTAATTTACATTGCCTCAGGGAGTATCTGAGCTTCCTGTTCACAAGCTAATGCTGAGCTGTACTGCTTTCAAAGGGAAGTACGGCCACAGAGAAAGATGCAAGCTTTTGGCCTTCAGAAGGAGACGATGAAAGGCACAAGGAAGACAGTGCAACCTCCTGGTCTTCTGGTACCTTGTCGGACGGCATCATTCAGGTAACGCGCTCAGATTTATCTCCATGGGGATGGGAAATCATCTTTGTGGAAAAGATCTGCACAAGTCCTAGGTATTGCTGAAGTCTGCAAAGCAAGAGAACTGTAGAAATGCAGGACATGATGGCCTTATTCACATCCTCCATATCACCCTAAATCTTGCCATTTAAAATCTCTTTTCCTGTTGCACATATTGGTTGGACTCAGCGACCTTAAGAATTTTTTCCAACCTAAATGAATCTATGATTCTATATTAATTTCTTCTAGCCTGACAAAAACTCCAAAGATAGAAAAGCACATTTGGTAGTAGCAATTTGTTTCACTAATTCCTGGAAAGGCTGTAAAATGTGCATTTTTTTGGAGGATGATTTGTGGAAGAGGTTCTCCTTGTACATGAGAAGATGAGCATCTAAGACACCCAATCGGCTACCATTTTGGTGGCATTCTGCTCTGTTTTTCATGGATGTCTCAAGAATGTTGTGATAGCTGCAGTTGTTAGTTTCTGTTGTATATCAATGTTACAGGCAAGAGAACTTCTGTCTGTGAATACTCTTGGAACAGGACCACTATGGGTTGAGTGGCTGCTGCCCTTTGAGGCTTCTCTAGCACAAGGCAATGATGATAGAAATATTTCCAGTGTTGCCTCTCTGTCTACAGGATGCTGATGAGATAATGCAATCACACAGTAAACGTGGTGAGGAAACATCTATGCAAATGTTGCAGAGCACTGAAGGCCCAGGAACAGGTGACGGCAGCCAGGCTATGGTGAGTTTGAAGGCCTGAAGTAGGCTGAACAAGGTGAACTTCTGAGCTCATTTTGTAACCTACCTAGTGGGCAGTAGCCCTATTTCATTATGGTTATGCTACTGGAGTTTGTTTCAGTATTTATGATATGGTAGGATATCTATGTTGGTAGGATACCTACCCCTATGTTGTGGGCCTCTTCACATTGCTTTAATAAATATGTTTTGATTTGCTCGTTGAAAATGCAATTTGCTAGGGAACAAAAGGGGGTATTTTCAGGAAGTAAGATGCTGGCATTCTTACAGGAATGAATGGAGGGGTTCAAGTGATGTAAACATACATCAACTATGAGATTTTTAAGTGGCAGTTAAAGGAGAAATTAAGGAGATTGATACTCCTATATGACGCTGCTTTGTGGAAAGTATGCACAGGCGAAGGGAGGAATGGGTGGCAGCCTATAGGTTATATACAAAAGAGCGTATAGAGACAGACATGAGTGCTCCAGGAAGGCCAGGAGCAGCAAACTGGCAGCAGAGCAGCCCCAGCTTTTCCTGGGTTTAGAGCATGAAAACAGACAGAATCCATCATTGCCTGGGGCAGGAGCAGGCCTCCAGGTCACTTTGTCTCCCATTCCCCCGACTCCTTCCATCATGCTTAACCTTTAATTTATAGTTAAAAAACCATAGCAAACTATTAAAACCCAGCCAGCAGCACAATACGGTCTCAAGTTGTGTCATGTTCTCAAGTTACGTCAGGGGAGGTTTAGATTAGATATTAGGAAAAATTTCTTCACCAAAAGAGTGGTCAGGCATTGGAACAGGCTGCCCAGAGAGGTCGTAGAATCACCATCCCTAGAGGTGTTCAGAAAACATGTAGACGCGGAACTTTGGGACATGGTTTAGTAGACGTGGTGATGTTGGGTCAATGATTGAACTTGATGATCTTAGAGGTCTTTTCCTACCTTAAGATTCTATGATGATTCTATATATTCTCCATTGGTATTACAGAAATAGCCTCATGTGAGTGTATTATGTCTAACGTAATTGTACGTTTGATCTCTCTGTGATTTTTCTCTCTGCTACACTGTCATGCTGTCGATCTCTGCCTGTGCAGGACATACCTAAGCTCCCTTTTGAGCTGCAGGAGATGCAGTCACTGCAGCACCCAAGCACAGCGAGCAGTTCAGCTGAGTTCACACTACTTGTCTGTGTTAGGCTGAGCTGAACCCCTGGCTGCACTGAGCAAGCCTCCGTTGAGGATAATGGGAATTTAGACACCTGTATCCAAGAGAATTAACATCTGGCTGAACCTTTTGGGTTTCCAGGAGCCTTAGAAGACAACATACGCCCTCCTGGCACCTCTGTGTGCCATCGCTGTGTTTTGTCAGCATCATGCCTTCATGGGCACCCACAGCTTGTTGCACCCAGTGATAGAAAAGTTCAGTGGAGTGGTTTCTTGAGCCAGACACAGCGACTCTGTGGTCAGACTGTGAGCCAGGGTCCTTCTCTGCTCAAGCAGACAGGTGTTTTAGAGAAAGCCTCCTTTCTCAAACCATACCAGACAGCTTTTTTGCTTGCAACATCTTTTCCACTTCACTGTTTTGCTACTCTGTGACATTTCCATATGCTACACAACTCCCTGTAGGGAGTGATTTTTTTTTTTTTATTTTATTTTGTTAAATGATTTGTTTACAAGATCAATTACTATTTGGAGACAGGAAGACATTTATGTTTATAAATGGTGAATTTATTTGTTTTCCCTAGAGATGTGTGTATGTGTAGAGATTTATGAAGTTGATTATATTTATGTTCTCCATTTAGAGCTTAACTGCATGCTAAAATTAAATAATTCCTACTATCTTAGTGATTGTTAAATGATACCATTTCTTCCCTCTGGCATGTTGTCCCTCCCATGCAACCACACCTGCTTCCAAATTCAGTTATAGCAGCATAAAACACAATTTAGGATTCAGAAAAAACATTAGAATTAGTGAATAAGGAAGAAAAGACACGGTATAGTTGTAGATGACTCCCTTCTGAGGAGAACAGAGGGTCCAATATGCTGGACAGACTCTCGTCTTAGGGAAGTCTGCTGCCTCCCTGGAGGCCAGGTTAAGGACATCACGTGGAAACTTCCGAGCCTGATATGGGCCTTGGACTATTACCCATTATTGCTCTTCCATGTGGGTGGCGATGAAGCCGCAACATGTAGTTGAAGGGCAATCAAAAGAGACTTCAGGGCCTTGGGACGGTAGGTGAGGGAATGTGGAGCACACGTTATTTTTTCCTCTGTCCTTCCAGTTGTGAGCAGCAATATTGGAAGAAACAGATGGAACCAGTCTATAAATACATGGCTCCATGGCTCGTGTACTGCCACAATTTGGGGGTTTTTGATAATGGCCTATATGGCACCAGGGCTGCTGGCATCAGGTGAGATCCACCTTTCTCAGAGGGAAGAGGGTCTTGCAATGAGCCTTGCCTGCTCATGAGCACAGAGCTTTAATCTAGACTTGAAGGGGGAGGGGGATAACATCAGGCTTGCCTGTGACAAACTGTGGGATGACATGCCAAGGTTAGAGGGATGGGGTGCTAGCGAGGGCCCTCAGCCTGTTGCTGTGAGGTGTGCTGGGTACACTGGAGCACACTTGGAGTCAGAGGCTCCAGAGGTAACAGGAGCCAACAGGGAAACATCAGTGAAATGTCTCAAAGGAACGAATGGGTGTTCCTCTAAGAAGGAGACACAGCCAACAGCCCAGCTGGAGTGCCTCTACACCAATGCATGCAGCATGGGCAAACAGGAGGAGTTGGAAGCCACCGTGCTGCCAGAAAGCTATGATGTAGTTGCCATTATTGAAACTCGATGGGACAGATCCCATGACTAAAGTGAGGCTATCAACACAGGCTGTTCGGAAGGGACAAGTGAGGAAGGAGGGGCAGAGGGGTTGCCCTCTACATCAAGAAATGGATAGAGTGTGAAGAGCAGTTTCTGGAGAATAGCCACAAGCAGGTTGAAAGCTTTTGGGTAAGAACTAGAGACCAAGGCAGCAAAGGGAACCTTGTGGTTGGTGTCTACTACAGGTCACTCAATCAAGGAGAGCCTATTGATGAAGCCTTCTTACTCCAGCTACAGTAGGCATCGCGCTCGCAGGCTGTCATCCTGCTGGGGAACTTCAGCCACCCCAACATCTGCTGGAAAAGTAGCACAGAGAGCTGTAGCCAATCCAGGAGACTCCTGGAATGCATTGAGGATAACTTCTTAAGACAGGTAATAGACAACCCTACCCAGAGGGGATGCAATACTGGACCAGATGGTCACTAACACAAGTGAGCTAATCGGTGATGTCAAGATTGGAGGCAGCCCATACTGCAGTGATCATACACTGGTGGAGTTTGCTGTCCTGAGCGATAGGAGTCAGGCAAAGAGTGAAGTCAGGACTCTGAATTTTAGGAAAGCAAACTTCAGGTGTTCAATAGAACCCCCTGGGAAGCTGCTTTCAGGGCCAAGGGAGCAGAACAGAGCTGGCAGATCTTTCAGGACTCTTTCCGCAGAGCACAGGAGCTCTCGATCCCCATGTGTAAGAAATCAGGCAAGGAAGGCAAGAGACCGGCATGGCTGAGTCAAGACCGGCTGGTCAAACTAAAGGGCAAGAAGGAAATGTACAGGCAGTGGAAGCAGGGACGGGTGTCCTGGGGAGAGTATAGGGACGCTGCCTGGCTGTGTAGGGATGGGGTCAGGAAGGCCAAGGCAAGGCTGGAACTGAACTTGACAAGGGATGCAAAGAATAATAAGGGCTTCAATAGCTATGTCAGCCAGAAAAGGAAGGTCAAAGAAAGTGTACCCTCCCTGATGAGCAAGACTGGCAAACTGGTAACAACAGCTGAGAAGGCTGAGGTACTCAGCAGCTTTTTTGCCTCAGTCTTTGCTGGCAGCCTGTCTTCCCACACCTCTTGAGTGGATGGGCTGAAAGACAGGGTCTGGGAAAGCAAAGTTCCTCCCATTGTAAGAGAAGATCAGGTTCGTGACCGCCTGAGGAACCTGAACATACATAAGTTTATGGGACCTGACGAGATGCATCTGAGTCCTGAGGGAACTGGCTGGTGTAGTGCCAAGCCACTCTCCATGATATGTGAAAAATCATGGCAGTAAGGTGAATTCCCCAGTGACTGGAAAAAGGGAAACATTGCACCCATTTTTAAAAAGGGTAGAAAGGTGGACCCTGGGAACTACCAACCTGTCAACATCACCTCTGTGCCTGGGAATATCATGGAACAGATTCTCCTAGAAGCTATGTTAAGTCACATGAAGGACAGGGAGGTGATTCGAGACAGCCAGCATGGCTTCACCAAGGGCAAGTCCTGCCTCATCAACCTAGTGGCCTTCTATGATGGAGTGACTACATCAGTGGACAAGGGAAGAGCTACGGATGTTGCTTATGGAGCAGATCTCCTGGAAACTGTGCTCAGGCAGATGGAAAATAAGGAGGTGGTTGGTGACAGCCAACATGGCTTCACTAAGGGCAAATCATGCCTGACAAATTTGGTGGCCTTCTACGATGGGGTTACAGCATTGGTGGATAGGGGAAGAGCAACTGATGTCATCTACCTGGACTTGTGCAAAGCATTTGACACTGTCCCGCATGACATCCTTGTCTCTAAATTGGAGAGACATGGATTTGATGGATGGAGCACTCGGTGGATGAGGAACTGGCTGGATGGTCGCTCAAAGAGTTGCAGTCAACGGCTCGATGTCCAAGTGGTGACCAGTGACAAGTGGCATTCCTCAGGGGTCAATACTGGGACCAGTGCTGTTTAGCATCTTTGTCAGCAACATGGATGGTGGGATCGAGTGCACTCTCAGCAAGTTTGCCAATGACACCAAGCTGTGTGGTGCAGTTGACACACTGGAGGGAAGGGATGCCATCCAGAGGGATCTGGACAGGCTTCAGAGATGGGCCCATGTGAACCTCATGAAGTTCAACAAGGCCAAGTGCAAGGTCCTGCATGTGGGTCGGGGCAATCCCAAGCGCAACTACAGGCTGGGCGGAGAATGGATGGAGAGCAGCCCTGAGGAGGACTTGGGGGTGTTGGTGGACGAGAAGCTCAACATGACCCAGCATTGTGCGCTTGCAGTCCAGAAAGCCAGCCGTATCCTGGGCCGCACCAAAAGAAGTGTGACCAGCAGGTCAAGGGACGGGATCCTGCTCCTCTACTCCACTCTTGCGAGACCCCACCTACAGTACTGTGTCCAGCTCTAGGGCCCCAGTACAAGAAAGACATGGAGCTGTTGGAGTGAGTCCAGAGGAGGGCGACAAAGATGATGAGAGGACTGGAGCACCTCTCCTATGAAGACAGGCTGAGAGAGTTGGGGTTGTTCAGCCTGGAGAACAGAAGGCTCTGGGGAGACCTGATAGCAACTTTCCTAAGGGTACCTAGTACCTAAAGGGGCCTACAAGAAAGATGAGGACAAATGGTTTAGTAGGTCCTGTTGTGATAGGATATGGCGTAGTGGTTCTAAGGTAAAAGAGCATAGATTTAGACTAGACATAAATAGGAAATTTTTTACAATGAGGGTGGTGAAACACTTGGAACAGGTCCCGGAGGGGTGGTAGATGCCCCATCCCTGGAAACATTCAAGGTCAGGTTGGACAGAGCTCTGAGTAACATCATCTAGTGGAGGGTGTCCCTGCTCATGGCAGGGGGGTTGGACTAGGTGACCTTTAAAGAACCCAACCCAAACCATTCTATGATGTCACTGTTTGTCAATTGATCCATGGTTGCCGTTGACTACATGACATCTCTGTGGTTCCAGTCTTGGCACAGAGCGCATGGCATGTGCATGAACATCTGCACGGATGATACCAGTTGGTTTTATTCAGCTAATTTGACTATATATCTGAGTTTCGATTTCCATAGAGGGCGGAGATAAAGTTTACTGCAGTAACATTGTCTAGCTGGGGAGGGACAGAGCATGTGGTAAGTGTAAACTAAATCCTTATGTACACATACATGTGTAACGAAAGGGTGTCATGCACAGGATTATACACGTGTAACTTTTTTATTTAAGGGAATGAACTAAAACGAACAGGCTTAGAACTAGAGCTGAAAATTTCAGGTGGAGGTTGAAGTAAACTGGTACTTTTTTAATTTCTTCAATCACGTATACCTCAAGAGACATACTTAGACTGTCCTGGGATCTGTATACTCTGATTTACTTTCTGTGTCTAATGGCACTGTTCCATACTATCTTAGAGGCAAAGAGGAACAGTAATGATTAAAGTAAGACATTGATAGCTGAAGCAATGCATTTTTGCTCTCTGATTTTCTGCCAAATCTCATTTTAACACGGAGCTTGTGCACTACCGCTGACCCTCTTGGTTGCTCTAGAGTTGTGGGAGTGTACAGGTAGTTTTGTTCTTCTGGTGCTGTGCTTCATTTACTTACTAAATACCAGTATTTGCATGTGTGGAGGTATATACATACCTGTACCACCTTCCAAGCAACTGCTGATAGCTCCAAGCACTTCAAACTTCTCCTTAATACGGAAGCGTGCAATATTGTTTCTTAAAGGAGGGCAAATAAGAAGAAAGAATTACACAAGACATACTTGAAAACACACCATTTTTTTTTTCTGTGTGACCTAGAGCCTGGATAAAGCATATTTGACTGTTGGAACTGAACATGCAAGTAGCTTATAAGTGTTGCCCAACAGCTTGCTTTGCAGCTTTAAACTGCATTGCTTTTACAGCTAACTCCCACAGAAAAACATCTCTCCTCAGGGGAGAACTGGTTAATGGTGAGTCATCCCACTTCCTGCGCACTCAGGTATACCTGTGCAAATGCAAATCGCTGCCTGGAAACCTGTTACACCAGATCCCGGATCTGAGTTTCCCTTTCTTTTTCTTTTTTTCCTTCTTCTTTTTTAATCTGGGAACATGGTGGCAGAGTGGTTTCGGAACTCTGTGAGTGTGAAAGTTAAAACATTTCCCACTGGTAAATGAAAGGGAAAGAAAGAAAAAAACATATAGATAACCATGTTTCTTTCATGTGCTTTGCTTCAGAGTGACAAGCTGCCTCCTGTCACCAACGCTACCCGGTGCTCTCGAGGGAAAGCAGAAGATTCAGAGGAATGGGTGGATGGTGGTAGGCCTGAGCCAGAAACGATCCTTCAGATGTGCCAGGCCCGGGTTGCGGAACTGGAACAGTGGCTAGACAAAACTAAAGTGTCCCTGGGGTCAGACCCCCAGACCCCCAAAATGCAGCAGATGGTGGAACTGCAGCTTGCTGAGTACCAGGTAAGACGGAGTGGTCAGTTTGCTGCTGCCATCCAAACAAGTCGTCCTTCCCTGGGGTGTGTGTCTGCAGCAAAGCTCTGCTTACTGCTTCTCCTTTCCCCGCTTTATCAGCTTCACTACACTGGGCAGAAAACAAGTAACTGCTTGGCTTCAGTTTCAGGTGCAGCTTTCCAAGGACTTAGTTAAAATATCTATGTTTAGGGTTGGGATCTTTATCTAGGGGATTTAGGTAGAACTCTGAGTATTTTTAAAGCTTTGTTTTTCTTTGGATTATTTTCAGACACATGGCTCAGTATAGTTTGGTTCCTCTGTTAAAAGGCAATTTTTCATTGGTCTCAATCATGATAAATCAGCTAGGAAAAAAGGAATTTTTTTTTCTTTTGACATTTTCACTTTCTATTGTTGCCAGAGTGATTTAAAGGACTGGTATAAGATAGTTTTGAAGCTAGTAAATTATTCTTCTGCAGTTTTTGCAAAAGGCTGCCAGCACAAGTAGAAAGATAGGGGCTTTTCCCCTGCCCTCTGTGAGCAGTGACGACATTTGGACCTACTGCCGTATTTCTAGGGCAGCCTCTTGCCCTGGATGGCAGCGGAAGGAAAGGAGTCAGTGGGCGGTACTGGAGGGAAACAGGACTGGCATGAGAGGCTGGGGTGGGTGGGAGTCCTGACATGCAGCTTTTCTCTCTGGTATGCAGATTAAAAGAAAATGTGCAGGCATGCTGCTTTGAAGTTCCCTGCAGTGCCAGTCTGGTGTACCAGCTTGCTTCAAGCACTGAGTCTACCTAAAGCAACAAACTTCACTCACCATGAAGGAACCAATACCAAAATGTCCCTGTTTTAAATTACTAGGAGATGTCTCCAGCTGTTTTATTGTTGTTGTTGGGTGGGGGCTTGTTAATAGGAACTGAGTCCATGCCAAGAAGTGCCTCTGGGTCTAGGCTGTGATTCAGCCAAGTGCTGAGGTGCTGAACCCTGTGGGAATTAAGATCCTGAATGCACCTAAGTAGCTGGCGGTGTCTGGATCCCATTCAGGGTTCGTGTCAGCATAGGCTTCAAGAGGGCAGTTCCAAGTGGTAAAAACAAGCAGGGTTCAGGCAGCTGTAACCGCTGCTGAATTCCTGTTGGCTTTTAACAGTTTGGCTCAATGTTAAGACATGAACATGAGGGGGGAGAGGTTTTTCCAACCTAGTCAAGATCTACACAGCAAAATACACACAAAGCAGAAGCAGTCTCTAGATATGGACGTATGATGTAAAGCAGTTAATTTGTTACAGTTGATTACTTTGCAGTTGAGCCATGGTACCTGTCTCCACACTCACCTTAAAAATGTGAATTTGAAGCAATGCAGAGATATAGTTTGATTCACAGCAGCTTGAATCAAAAAACAGATCCCAACAGTTTACAATGGCCTGGCTGATGTATGGCAATGTTACTATTGTTTCGGTAATTCAGCATCATTCCTCCCAAAGGGTGATGTGATCAGTCTGTGCACTGCCTCCTTCTCCCCCATTGGGGTGTGTCGTCGTCTTGGTTGCATCCAAATGGAGTCTATCATTGCTGCTCTCCTCTTTTATTACTCCATATCTGAGTTTATGTAACTTCCTGCAGAGGCTGTTAGTTTTAAGACTAACTCTGTACAAAATTTGTTTAATTGTTCAGAATAAAAAGAGACTATATTGGAGAACATCTAGGGGGTTTGCAGCTATTTCTCTTTTTGCTTGTATTTTTCTGTTCTTGTCAGACAGGGGAAGCGTGAGCATTGACTTCAGAACGTTTTAAGGAGTGTTGTACTTCTAAGAATTAATAATTGACTGCTGTCCCTTCTAGGTGATGTTATCAGAGATTGAACAAAAGGTTCTTTCTTTACTGGAAGATTGTGGAGATAGTGCAGACTACCAACAAGAGACAGAGGCTCTTTCCTTGAAGCTGAAGGAAGTGAAGTGCAATTTGGAAAAAGTTCAGATGATGCTTCAAGACACATACAATGAAGAGCAGGTAAAGCACATGAGTGCTATGCAGAGCAAGAGTGAGAGTGTCATGGTGCTTTAATGTGCTGTAGTTGCAGAAGAACAGTTAGATCTCACCATGTGAAGCAAGGAAGGGAGAAAAGTCAATCAGAAATGTCAGACTTATTATTATTCTACTTTTTAGTGCTGTATAATTATTTGTAGTTTGCAGGAAGTAGTGGATTTTTAATGAGTCTTTGAACAACATCTTTTTTGCTTTAAGTGCTCAGTGACAGAGGTCGAGATTTTGTGAGGAGTACAAGAAAAGGACAAAAAGTTTTTTTGGTTTGGTTTGTTTTTTTTAAATGCCTTTCAAATACCATGATGTTTGTTTGTGACAGTACCACAGCAGAGAGGCCTTTAAGCAGTAACTTTCTCTTTGAAGAATGCATAAATGGCAAGGGCAGTGGCTCTGCCAGCTCTCCTGCACCACAGCTTCACGCTCTTTGCTGAGTTTCCCAATGGATGAGACGATAACTCCCAGCTTCAGAGCTAATTCCCACTTTGTTGTGCAAGGAGGCAGAGAAGCCCATCTGATGTGTTTGTGTAAAAGCAGCCACAGTCTCTCTGGTGCTGGAGGAGCACAGTCTAAGAGGGAGCTTGCATGGCCCAGGAGAGAATTAGTGCTGCTAAAGGCTCTTATTGAAATAGCTCTTTGAACACAGACAGATAGAAAATCCATGTGCATGAGCAAATTTATAAGCACAAATTGCACGTGTCTATAATTTGGTCAAACAATAAGAATGGGGAGCTAGTATCAATTAATCTGCTAACAGGAAAGGCAAAACAAGCCTTGTAGCTGTCAGGGAGAGAAATGCGAGGACTTTAGCAGCAGGTTAGAATGGGTCAAACTTTCAGTAAATGGAACTGCACAGAAATCTTTGCAAGAGTAGCAACTGCGTTTCATGCACTGATGATTCTGTGTATGGTGAGTCTGAGACAGCTCTGCTTTTGCAGTTTCTCCAAACCGCACCTGCGGGTTCTACTGTCTTAAGTCTGGAAGCCTTCCCACAACAGATCTCTCTCTACAGATTCACAACAGTGAGGGGATTGACCCAGAGCCTCTTGAGATCCTACACTCAAACGGCTTCAGCGCGCCCCAGCTTGCCCTTGCTGAACAGCCGCTCAGTCAGCACAACGATTTCCAGCACGCACAGGTAATTCTCCGCTGCCCCACATCCCCTGCGAGGGACAGCTGCATTTATTACCTGCTGCAGTTTTTCACTGTGGGATCAAGTCTGTCAAGGGTAGGTTTCAGCCACCCCTCTCCTCCAGGATTAGGGGAGTTTATCAGGATGGAGAAAGGCTTCACCCCTAAAATCCCATGTCCAAAAGGTTCAGTAATACTACAAAGCTGGATGATGCTCTGACACGTGCCTTGTATTGTAGTGATTCAGATGACATCACGCATCCCTCCAATCTCCTGTCACTGAAGCATTGTTGTATTATGAAATCTGAATCTATATATTGACACTGCTTTTGAAGATGAATTTGAAGCTAAAGCTTTGTGAACATTTTCCCATCGGCTAACTCACAATGACTTTAAGGTTGTTAACACAATAAAAAAACCCTGTGGCATTCTGTGCTCTGTAAACTACTTTGTTTTGCTAACTAAAAATTAGCTTTCGCCCTTTTCATGCTATTAGAAAAGAGTTGGAGAAAACGATCCAGCCTGAGCTGCTGAAATTGCTCACTTTTCACTCAACACTCTCTTTTTAACTGATGGAACTTAACCTCATATTTGAGCAAATCTCCATTTTCTCTTTTTCTCTGTATATGAATGGCAGTCAATGGCCTTTAAATTTCTGTATGTGCATAATTTGTTTCTGACTGCTGGTTTTTAAAACTTTAGCTCAGGCAGAAATCTATTCCATAAAAATACACATTTTCAGAAAATGGTTTGTTTGGTAAACTCATGTTTACACATAAACTGCATTTTATGCTGTTACGTGTATTCTTATTTTCTTTGCTAAATGAATTCACGTAAAATGTGATTGGAAAAGCACAATCATAATTTCAGATTAATGCAGTGCACATAACTGATTTTACTGTTCATGCTATTCTTTGTGCACAGGATCTGAAAGTAAAAGCAGCTGAGCAGAAAAGCCTCATTGACTTCATTGAGTCGTGCGTGGAAAAAATGCAGCCGCAGTTTGAGGACAGCGTGATTCAGAAGTTAGAATCAAGGTACAAAATAACAAAATCAGTTACCAGATTCAAGTGATGTAAAACTACCTAAACCTGCTGAAACTGCAGTGGCACCATTGGTTCTGTGCGGGTATGTGCACCTCTAGAAGAAAAATTGCAGAAGCTGGGAGATTTCTGCCATCAACAGTCTAAAGAAATTGAGTCTCATTTATGTGACAGCCTCTTTGATATTGGGCTGACTCAGTGTTTAGAGTCAGTCTTGATATCAGGCAGCACTGATACCTGGCATAAACTGAAGCAGGCCCATCCGGAGCCAAGTTTGGTCTCTCTCTTCACAGCCTTTGCTGTACAAATGCATGGAGATAGCCAGCCAGGTTTAAAGGCAGCATCTTTGAAAAGGGGGCATTGGGATTGTGCACCTTCTGGCATGGAACCGAGACATGCCACAGGACTATGCTCCCCATATTGTCATTTCAGAGGTGCAGGCTGCCAGCAACCCTTAGGGTGTTTCACAGGAAGGGAAAAGCCCAAAGAAATTTATCAAAGCTTGGATTAAAGATCATCCATGCACTTGATTTCACTCTGGTTTTGGGGCAGGAGGAATAGAAACTAATCTTATACAAGAAGTCTTACATATCTAATTCTGCTTATTCTGCTTCACTATTTGCCATTCTAACAATGTTTTGTCAATACAGCAATGGAGAATCTGATCCAAAGAGCAAGCAGGCTGATCCCACCTTAGCTCCAAAGGACCAAACGGGTAATAAATGGCAATATTTGCAACAAGAGCTGTCATCAAAGATGAAATCTCCTCTCTGCCAGCTTGTGGAACCTCAGGTCTGTTCAACTTCAGTAAAACACTCCTTCTGCAGGCAGTTGATTGTGGTACAGATAGCAATTAGTGTATATTCCTGCATCATCATATCATGTCTCTTTATCAGATAACTGAAATCTGTGCAAGTATTCTCCAGAGGAAATTGTTACTGCACTCTGTTTTCATGATTGTCTTTTAATTTTACTTTCAGTTAAAGAACATCTCTGAAGTAGTGACTACTAAGCATACTGTGGAATCACATAGGTGAATCCTTGTAGTTAACATTCAGATCAGATATTATCTGCTTAATTCTTTCAAGAGACCTAAAAGAGTTAGCCAGCAAGTTCCCAGCTGATTTTCATGGGTGTGGGTTAAGTCTCAGTTCTTGCAAGTGAGAACATTTTGGTCAAAACAAATCTCTGGCTTAAACTTTGTTCTGCCATTCACCATTGTATTCTCTCTTTCTCACATATCAAAAGCAGAATTTGGACTGCAACAAGAGCATGCTGTGTATTTATTCTGAAGAGACTGCAGAATCTCATTGCTTGGACAAAACTATAATTTCTGTTACTTACAGTTTTGTTCACTTTAAATTAGAATGACTAGATTCCTTGTTCTCTGAAATTACTGCATTACGTGGAAGAATATCAGTCATGTAAAAGGATGACTGTCAGCTCTTTCTCAGGCAAGCCTCACAGTGCAGTGGGCAGCAGGGCTGCCTTAACACAAACTGCAACTTGTAGCTCTTAAAGCTGGGAATCAGAGGCTCCTTTTTCAGTCAATCTCCATCAGGGCATAGCCTACCCAACTAATTTTTGCCAGTAAAAAGGGAACCCTGATATCCAGGTGCTTTTATTAATGCCTTAAAACTTTCATTTTAATGCTTTTTGAGAGGAGTGTTATCTAGTTGCTCGTAGCACTGTCTTCATTTGAGCTCTTCACCTAATTGCAATGTTCTTTTTCCAAATGTTAGATTACAACAAAGATGAACGTGCTGCCCCGAGGCACATTCACTAGTGCAGGCACCCCAACTGTGGAAGAACTGAAAAATTACACTGTCCAGCTGGGAGACCTAAGCCAAGAAGCAAATGTGGTGCATGCACAGGTAAAAAGGGCATGTCCTAGCATTGCAAAAAATACCAGGGATTCTAGGCACAAGGCACTGTTTGGGCACCAGGAAACATAGCTGATAATCATATTATTGGAAATGGTGTTCACTGTAGTATAGCTATTCTATTAGCTATGAACTATAACATAGTGATTAGGATTTTGAGAGGAAAGATTTCAAGTTTCAGCCATGGTACTTCTGCTACCTGAATCCAAAGATTAGCTAGTGTGGGTAAAACTCCTCAAACTGTATAAAGCGAGGAGCCTATGAATGATTTCAGTAAATCTGCAGTATTGGAGCTGACAAGACAAATGGTGGTGTGCCCATTCCTGAGATTAGAGACCTGTAAGACCACAGCCACTCCCAATACATAAATGGTCATTGTCTCAGCTTTGGCCTTGACAGCTCTGAATATTACATGCATATAACTGTCTCATCCAAGTCTGTCTCTCAGTATTTCATTAATTCCATTTTATTATTAGCTGAATGAGCCTCTAACCTTGTACGAGTGAATAAATCTTAGCCTTGGGTGAAAGTACTGAAAACTTCTGACTTGCCTTTCCCCAGGATAATGTGGCGGAGGAAGTCTCTTCCAATTTGGACAGAAAATTGTTTGAGCTGCTTCTGGCAATCAGCCGATGTTTGAATAACATGGAGGAGATGTTAAACACCTCAGTCCTCTCCACAGAAGAGGCAGCCGTGCAGCAGGCTCTTTATGAGGTAACTGTCCTAAAGCACCCAGGGAAGGAGAACCCCAATGGATTTCTGTTGCAGCAGAATATATATGGCCTGATATTTCCTCTCTGTTTTGCTGGTATTATTCAGGAATAACACCACCAAACTATTTGGTGTTGCACAGATTTGGGCCTGTTGCTTTTAAGAACAATTATCAACTTGAGTCCTGCTGCCTTTTACAGGCAAGAGTCCTTGGAGAGAGACCATTTTCACTCATGTTATCTTTCTTTCAACCCTTTAGACTCTTTCTGTCGAGCTGCAAAAACTTCACGCTGATCTGAGTAATAAAAAGGATGATCTTCTAAAGTCTATTAGCTGCGCTGGTGGGAGCACAGATGTGTTCAGCGAGTGCTTTAACAACTTGCAGGCGCGGCTAGAACAAACTCAAGCTGCCACTGCTTCAAGGAGCAGCTCAATGAAAGCTGGGCTGGATCATAATAGCAATTATCAGGTACTCCAGTGCCAAATGCACATCGTGTTTCACAGCATCTGTTAGACTTGTCAGTGTTAATGCATTTGGATTACAGATGAGCAATCTATAATGGGCTTTCTTTTCTTTTTTTTTTTTTTTGGTACTAAACAAACTTGTCTTGGCCTCTCAAGAAGCAAATCAATTTTGTTGTTTGCAAGGCTGACTACTTTAGAGGTCTTGATCACAGTAGAAAAACTGTATGCAGAAAGGATGGAAGTAACCGGGGATCCCATGCACGCTGAGCTACAGGCTAAAGCAAGTTTCTGTGTGTAGGCATTGGGCCAAGGAGGGTTTCATGTATTCTTTCTGCTGCTGGGTGGACTCAGGAGAGGCAGGCTTCTTCCTTTTTGGTGCCATGTCTGGTTACTTTTAGCTATGTATTGGGGGTTGATTTCACCATTTGTATTTACTGTTCCTTTAGATTTTGTGCCACAGTAGCAGGAGCCTTAGTTTTTGCAAATTTGCGGTTTTTTGTTCTTTTTTGGAAAAGCAGATAGATAGTGAGAAAATTTTCTATAGATTCTCATGATGGGGTAAATCTACTAGCTATTGCTTGAAAATACTCAGATCAGGTACATAGGCTGAAGTAAGGAAAGAAAAGCCTGGTCTTTGAAATACAGTTTCCACTGTCCAGCAGAACTCCAGTGTGTTCATCATCTGCAAGTCAGCCTAGCTCTTTACTGCTGAGTAATAAAACAGGTCCTTTGAAGAACACTGGGATGTTGTCTCCAAACAGTAGCAAGACTAGTCTTGCAATGTTTACTTATGCAGAAGCCACAGAGCTCCATCAGTCGCTGGTAATGGGCTCATTTTCTCATTTTCAGAAGAGAAGAATTTGTTTCTCTGTAAGTTTCACAGATTTTTACAATCATAGAGGATCATTGTGACAGGGTAATCTGCTTTCTTACACTACACAGACTACAGAATTTCCATCTCTCAATCACTGCTTAAAGCCCATAATGCACATGCTTTATTTTGTTTTATTAAAGAGGAAAAAAGAGCTTTTGCCATAAGAGGTAACCGTTTTGTTTGCTGTGTAATTTTGTCTGGTCATTACTATATTCCTGATATGTGATATACTTCTGAGGTTTGTTTCTTTTGCAGAATGAAACCAGGCTGCTCTATGATAAGCTAACTGAGAAGAAAGCTTCTCTGCAACAATGCTTGAATGCACTACATGGACATAGTGCTTCTGAACAGCTTCAGGTAACTTCGTTTGAAGGAAAGGAGAGAAAAAAATAAACACTCTCACCATTAGCTATTCTTTCCAGTTTTCTGCAATCTATTAAGTTTCATATTTTCTAAAGTTTGAGTGTCACTTAGATTTTAAGAATGGAGGAAGGAGAGAATTCAGTATTTGCCACTCTTTTTTTTTTTTTTTTTTTTTACTACACCTCAATCTGTAGCTGTAGTCAGACTTAATTCCAGTCCTTTTAGTAGTTGAAGTGGAGGAACCAGTCTCTCCACAACCTCTCAGAGCAAATACACCCCACACTATGGCAGGGAAGAAAAAGAGCTACACAAAGTACAGCACTTGACACATTATGCCTTTTTATATGCACAACTAGCTTTTCTTTGTTGTTCAGCATTTATGAGCACCTTATCATATGGCATTTGACCAGCTAAGCTATTTTCTTTGGCCTTCATAAGAATTAGCAGAGAATGAAAAATGAATAGACTGCATACTCTCACCAGAATGGTCATCGGCCATCTATCTGTTTGTTGGTGAAGCAAAGAGAGTGTCCTGACACTTTTTTGTTACAGGCTCATAACCTTGTTTACAGGCATAACTTTCTGCCAGGCTGCAAGCTATGTTCAGAACTGCTGAATCCCCTAGCAGGGACTGCTGCCTTAGACATATTCTGTCAAGTAACCACTCTTGGAAAAGGAATGCCAGAAGTACATAACTTCCCTTCCTTCAGAAGGAACCTGTCTCAATCCATCCCTGACTGAGTCTTTCTAATTCGTAAGAAAAAATGTTATTTTCTGAGTGCATGATTCCTTTGGCTACTTTTGAATTAGTAAACTGAAATGCATATTGAATGTTGGACAGAGACACAAGACCTGAATTCTCTTCATGGCTGTGCCATGTCAACCCAGTAAGCTGTGTCATGAACAGGCTCGTCTATTTAGTTTATAAGCTCGTTGGATCTCGGGGTCTCATTGTGAATGTACGCAGCAGTAGCACAGCAGAGATCCAGCCCCTGGATTGGCTGCGCTACTAGTGATAATGGAAAGTTTAATGAAACAGAACTCTTCCTAATAACTTATTTTGTCCTTAATTCAGCAAACTGATGCCTGTGCTTTGGAGCTGCAAAGCTTTGAAAATCAAGTAGCAAAACTGAGAGGCCATGGGGAAAGATTTCAGTTACCTATCACCTTAATCCAGGAAGCTTATAAATTAGAGGTAAGAACACAGTACAGTTTCCACTTACTCAGCAAGTTTTGATTCTTCTAAGCAAGATATTTTCAGTATCAAAAGGCTGATGGTTATTTTGCATTCTGGGAATGTGTGTGTGGGTTTGTAGGATTCATTTCTGTCTTTCATGAATCACTAAACTGTGTTTACATTGTAGGATGTTTTGGATGACATGTGGGAGATTCTGAAAGCAAAGTATGTGGAGCTGAACTCTCCTTCCATCAGTGAGAGCCAGTATGAGGACTTACTTCATGGATTTGCAGAGCTGGTAGCTATTGGACGAGAGAAGATTGCACAAGATCCAAAGCAGCTAGCGAAAAGCAAAGCAGCTCTACAGTCTCACCTGGAAAATCACAAGGTATAAGATGCTTATCACAGCACTGCTCAGATCAGCATAGCAGGGGCCCTGTTTTCAGTGACTGGTTTCTCTCCAGTGTTATGGAGGAGAATAACTAGCTCATAGCATAGGGGAGGGACTGCAGTACATGAAGAAAACAAAGCAAAGTTTTTCAGTAGACCAAAATAGGACCCACTAAAATATGAAAGAGAGATTGTTATTACAACTGCAGTTTTGGTGATAAATTAAGATCAAGATTTCAGTTTTGTCAGACTAATACTGCTTTGGCTTACCTCAGAACATACTGATAGGCAAGGAAATGTCCTTCTAATTACTGGTAAAAAGTCAGTAGTAAGGTTCCTGAAGTTACTGTCTAGCAGTTGGGAATTGAGCCTTGGCTTTCAGTATTGGAACTAGATTATCTTTGAGGTCCCTTCCAACCCAAACCATTCTATGATTCTGTGCCGTCATGATCTGATGGAGGAAACTTACCCATAACAGCTCCTTTTCCGAAGGGAGAATAGTTTATGTCCTCCCCTTGGCAGCCCAGTGTCCCCTGTACCCAGCTGCTACATGTTTGATGGGAGATGGCTGAGAATGCACCTGCGTCCTCACTGTCCTGCTGCTTGGCAAGAAGCCCTGGCCAGTGCTAGTCACTCAAAGATGTCTCTGTCATGGCAATGCCTTGATTTAACCGCCTCACATAGAGCAGTTGAATAACTCCCTTAAGAATTGCTTCAGGATGCCAAGCTCTGCAAACCACTACTCCTACTCCAAAGTCATAGGAATGGTGTTTGTCACTTGCAAATTGCCCTTATCAAAGCAGTATGTTAGGAATTTATTTACAAAGGAAAATAAATAATGTGTCTGCAGTGCAAGTATACATTGCATGTAATGCATGTATGATCTCTCTTAAAGAGCAAGCTTTAACTTGTTTTTTTCAGGACTTTTTCCACAACCTCATGACCCACATGGCTTTCATGCAAGTATTTTCCAAGAAAGTGACTCCCTCCATCCTACAAAAGAGAGAGGAATTCTGGAGAGAGCTGGTGAATGAAGTCAAGTTGCTGGAGCAGAAGGCCTGCCAGTATGGTATACACTTAGAGAGCCTGTTAAAGGTAATGAGTCAAAAGAAATACAGAGTAAAAGCTGGAGGGAAGAAGAATTTCATCTAGGGGAACCCTTTCCACACCAATGATTCTTTGGCTAGTAGTTGTCCTTTCCTGTCTCCATTGGACAGCAACAGTCTATTACTTGTTCTGTGTGTGTCAGTAAACTGGCTTTTTTCCTTGAAAACCTTGGAAAGTGTACATTTCAACCCATTACTCTGACATGGGTGAGACTTTATGATTTCTTGCAGTAATTTTTGAGTGCCTGGACTGACAGGAGAGCCCTTTAAGGCACAAAAATACCAGTACCACTGTAAAATAAAACCTAAAAATTGATCTTAAAACACCCCTAGAGAACATAAAAATTAAGTATACCACTTTAAAGTAAGAAACTTTGAAGATATTAGAGAATTAATTCATCTGTGGTGGAATCATGTCTTTAATATATGTAATATTTCCATATTATTCACCTATTTTTGTGTTTTGTTTCATTAAAGCAAGAACTGCTGATGCTAGAATAAGCATTAAGGCTTCAGTCTGATGTGTGCTATGTTAATGACACAATGTGTTTTTTAGGAATGGATGGAATTTGATGATGAATGCCTAGTTATCAATAAGGAGTTAGAGGCACTTTCCTCTACGCTGCCTTCTGTGAATTTGGTTGAAGAAACAGAAGAAAGATTAATGGAAAGGATTGCACTTCTACAGGTATTTATGTGTCTGTGTCTCTGACTGGTGTTCTTTGTAGATCTGTAAGGTTGGCAAAAAGATTAGTTAGAATATGAGAAGATGGTTTGCAGGGCACTGTTTCCTTTGTGTCCTTGTCTCTGTGTGGATGCAAACTGATAACTTACTTTTAAAAGTAGCAGATAGGGCTGCTAATTTCAGGGGCTGTAAGTTCCTTTATGACTGTAGGACTTTGTCTTTGAATGCCAATATTTGGCAGAAGATCGTGTGCAGGCTACATGGATCCCAAGGACAGCAGGGAGCTTTGGGATGAACGCAGAGCCACTTCTCTGTAATTCAGGAACGATTTTCATACCATGATGTAAAACCCGTGGAAGAGGAGAGTCAATCCAGTGCCTTCAAATATCTGAACCCCAGCTTGCAATAGAAGGTTGACAGATTTACCAGCTCCTTTTAAAATCCTGAGAATCCAAAATGAGGTGTCTTGATTCCTGTCTGACTAAAGAGACTAAAATTCCTTTTGTATAGAATGGCAGATAGGCTCCTGGTTTGTTCCCAGCTGCATCTCTGATGTCAGAGCTACACCTTTATTTAGAACATCAAGTCCAGTTGGAAATATTTTATCTGTTTTAAACACATTTGAATATAAGGATATGAAAGCAGCCTTTATGGTTGTTTAATAACATTAAGAAGAAATAGTGTTCGATAAACTTAATGATGTATCATCAGAGAGTGCTCTGCATTCCTCACAGGTTTGGCCTTTCTTGGTCTTCAGAGGACCCACTCTATTAGAAGTTTTTGAATTAATGAGTCTGTGGTATACACTGAGTCCAGTTTGATGTTTAGATTCATAGACTATAAAGGCAAAAAGGACTACTGTGATTTTATCTAGTTGGCTGCATGAAAGAGATCATTGGACATTCCCAGAAAATTCTGAGCTACAGTAAAGCTTTTGAAATAAATTAACAGTAGATCTTTACAATCGCAGTGGCCCTCTGGTGCTCTTGATGCCTGTCACACTGAGACAGGAGACATGCAGTATTTGCATAGCCATTGATTGTGAAGTTGCCTGATTTCCTTTGTTTTTTTAAGTTCTTAACTAGTTCTTCGCTCTTAAGTCTTTATTTGTCTTTAAAGACACCAGAAACTGTCAGAGATTTATTCCTGTCAGAGAAATATCCCTATTAATAATAAATATTGTACAAGTCCCTTCGGCCTAGAGAGGAGTAAGACACTTGCACATCACAAAATCCATTCTGCCTTCTCCCTGGGACTGATCTACTTCCTGGACCAGAAACAAAGTAGTAAGGCTTTAGAGGATGCTTTTGGGGTGAGTACCTGCACTGGAGCCTCACAGTTTCAAGGACAGAGCAGAGTAAAATTCTCTGGGTCTTAATTCCTGTCAGAGAAATATCCCTATTAATAATAAATATTGTACAAGTCCCTTCGGCCTAGAGAGGAGTAAGACACTTGCACATCACAAAATCCATTCTGCCTTCTCCCTGGGACTGATCTACTTCCTGGGGTTTTTTTTTTCTTTTTTTCCCTTTTGTTATTTTGACCTTCCAATGAAGTGTAGCAATGATAAAATTATGCTTTGTTTTTATTCAGCTGTCTAAGCAAACCAGACCTCTTTTACATAATATCTTCACTGTTCACTCTTCATTCCTCCCTGCCACCATTATTCAACAATTATCCCAACAGCTTCCTTCAAAACACCGGTAACATTTTTTTTTAAATACGATAGAGCCAGAAGGCCCTCTCAGAACAGGAGGTCAATAACTTTCTGCTGAGGACAGTCATATGTTTGGACAATGCAGCCAGACCTGAAAGTGTTTGTCCATTGCTTGAGGTTTGCATGTGTCAAAAAAGCCCATCAAATCATAACACATTCTGATAATGTATGAAATGATATTGAGATCTGTCTTGATCTATCCAGAGGAGACAAAAAAAATACAAAACCTGTGTCCCTTTTGCATGTAACGGAAATATAGATTCCTTCCATTTGGAAAATAAAATATATGACAGAGGAAATGTGAGATTAAGAAGTTAGAACAAATGATGTGTTTTTCTAGCTGTGTTTTCAGTTTTTAAAATATTATTGTTTTGCAAACTTCCCATATTCTGATAGCAAATCAAAACCAGTGTTGATGAAAAGCATGCCAGGCTGTACCAGATGGTGAAAGAAGGGAAGAAATTACTGACTGCTGTGAACTGCCTAGAAATAAGAAGTCAGATTGGGAAGCTGGAAGAGCAGTGGTTGTCTTTAACCAAAAAAGTTGGACATGAACTACACCGACTTCAGACATTACTCAAACTCTTGGTCAGGTGGGTATAACTCTGAAAGCAATTAGAGATATCAGCTAGAAATTGTCTGACCTTCTATAGATGTATTTTCTGAAATATGACAGTGAATTAATAAATAACATAGCTCCTTTAAATTAAAAATGAGAAAAAAGGAAAAAAAAAGAGCAGTGGTGATCAGAAAAGTGGCCCTTTATTACACAGCTGATCTCTCACTGTGTAGACAAGTGCTTCACTTCCTGCTTATTTTTGTAGGAGCAATATTTTGATTGCTGCTATTGCAAAGTCAGTGCATCTAGGTGAGAGTTAGCTGCATCGTGCTGCAGTTTGTACATTGGAAGTGTTAACAGAAGCTCTGATTATGCTGCCCTAAGCATTTTGGCCTGCTACGAATGCAAGCTAGCCTTGATTCCCATGCAGAGGCATAATGCGCCTGTCTGCATGTACACTGCCCACCTTACACACATTCAAGACCTGGCTGGCATGCTGCCTCAACTCGTGTTTTGAAGCTCTCCAAAGGAGGAAGACTTAAGCATGCTCAGTGCTTTCACATGGCCCAAGCCAACTGTCAGTGCAGTCCTGGCACTCAGGTGGAGACAGTTTGGGGCGCTACAGCCCAGTCTATCAGCCGACGTACCAAGCTCAGCTTTCCCTGCCCCTGGTCTGTGTGCTCTGAGCTCAGGCTGGCTGGACCCATAGTATGGACAGAGCTTGCCAGCTGTGTATTCTGCACTATATCTTGGAGCCTGCACAATCTCCTCTGGTGGTTTTGACCTCCAGCAAAGCTCTTTTCACCTGTACGAGCTTGTCTTGGCAACTGCTGGGTGGATACAGAAATAGGATGTTTTCAGGGAGAGCAGACCAGCTGAAAAGAGCTGATAGGAACAGTGTCGTGTGTACCTCCAGCTGTGTTGCACATTGATCCATGCTGTGCATGGTTCTGCAGGGTTGCGTAGCAGGATAGATGCCAGAATAGGATGTGCCTCCTCACAGAGAGGAAGACAACTTGGAGGATGAGAAATGTATCTGAGACTCAGCTAGGAGATGTAAGTTTGTGTGTTGTGTTTTCTCCTTATAGCTACAACAGAGACTCGGAGGAATTAATGAAATGGCTGGATTCTGCTCAGCAGAGAATGAATTTTTGGAAGGAGCAGTCTCTCAACGTGTCACAAGATCTTCCCACCATCAGGGATAACATCAACAGCTTGTTTGTAAGTCAGTTGTCCTGCCAGGTTTAGATAAGACCTCATGACTTCCAGGGAAAATGACCCTTTATAGTGGTTTTTGTATTTGCCATGACCCAGAAGCTGCCCACCTACTATAGCACTGAATGGCTTTGTGCCTCAAAGCCACCTCATTGCCTGTGTGGGGAGCCTTGAGGATGGGAGACTACCAAAGACCTTCCTTCAGATTGCGAGGCCAGCCAGAATGCGTAAATCAGAACGGAAACCTCTTGTAATGAGCTCCCAACTGCAACACATCACAGCCCAGCCAGGATCTCTTGTGCACCTACAGCACAATAGCATGGTTTCTGTCTTGCTTCTGATGCCGAATACCAGATACAGCAGTTCAGCCAAGCTGATGGGCCACTTACCAACTGAATCTGGAGTGTGGGCTCAGGGAGCAGGAGTGAAGACAGCGGGGCTGTGAAGATGGTGAAGCAAAGTCAGAAACATGCTGAATTGCATTTCATGTCTTTGCCTGCCCCCCTGTGCTGTACTCCCCTTGTATGACTAGCCAGGAGGTTCAGCCCCAGTGTGAAGCCTGATGGAGGGAGTCTTGCACAGTGGGAAGGCAAAGCATCATGAAGGTTGGACCAGTAGGTGTGAGCTGGCCAGAGACTCAAGGACTGGGGTTGCTCCCTGGAGCGCTGTGTGAAGTGGGGATGGGGATATTCCCAATCCCTGTGAAGCAAAAGATGGTATTCAGCACTGTATCAAGCTGGGCAGAAAAATGCCTTACCTGCTGCCAGAACATGTTGAGGTTAGGTTTTCTGAACTTTACAAACTTACTAAAATCTGTTTGTTGAGGCAGTTCATCCTGTGACTGAAAACCTAGTTTATAGTCTTTATTTAAATAGATATATATTTACCCTCTCTTAAATTTCTCCCATGCACCTCAGACATTCTCTAAGGAAGTTGATGAAAAATCTTCCCTGAAGTCATCTGTGGTGAGCACTGCCAACCAGCTCTTTCATGTGAAACAAGCTGATACTGCAGCACTTAGGTCATCTTTGGCAAAGTTTGAGCAAAAATGGGGAGAACTGATGATACAGCTCCCAGCCATCCAAGAAAAGCTTCACCAGGTGAGGAGAAACTCTGCTACCATCTCTCACTTTGAGCTAAATAATTACTTTAAAATGTTGCTGCTGGGATTCAGTTGGCTGCTCCATAAGGCTCCCAAAGCACCTCTTTCCTAATTAGCTGTCTGTCTTGCTTTCAGTACATCCCCAATATTGTACTGCAGTTTAATTATTGCAGTGTTCTTCCTGGGCTGTTTTCCACATGTCTATCATCTTTACAATTTCATATGAAAGTCTGTTACAATTAGAAAGAATTTTATTTCAAATTTCTGAATTCTCAAACTTTTCTTAATTTAAGTCATATACCCCTCTTGGAGCTCAGGGCTTACTTTCAAGTTCGTACCCTGATAATTGCAATTACAGTGCCTGAGCCTTTCTAAAAATACAGATGTCATCTTCCTTGATATTTCTAACAAGCAGACTGTAGAGGATTCATTATATGTTTTACTCTCAGCTTCAGATGGAAAAACTTTCATCGCGGGAAGCTATTGCTGAACTAATGACCTGGCTGGACTATGTGGAACAACAGCAAGGACATGAGGAGCCAATAAATTCACAATGTAGTGCTGCCCAAGTCAGAAGCCTCCTTCAGAAGTACAAGGTAAATGGGAAGCTGTAAGTCCAGGCCTTCTGCAAGGTGTTTGGCTGCTGGAAAAAGCCTACACGCACTGTCATATCCTTTCCCTTGCTCTTGGGAGGGTTCCTCAAACAGTCTCAAAGGTGCCGTAACATCTTCCTTTATAAAAACCTTTTGCTTCCATACCACACAACACACTGCTTGCCTGCAATACAGCTACTGCCTGCTGTGCTTTAATCTCCTTTTCGTCATGCTGTCCCATCTGTCTCACTTGTTCTCTCTCTCTTACATTTAGGTTATAAAATGTGTTGAGCAGGAAAGCTTTGCTTCCTTAGGAAGATTGACTTTGTGTTTGTGCTATGTTTTAGTCTGCCTTTTCAACTAGGAATGCCTCATAATGGAGTTCCATAGCCAGGATCCATTTAACTAGAGAACAGGGGTTTTGAATATTATGTTCATCAGAAGAGATAACCTGCTAGGAAAGAGGGACAAGATGAACATCCCCGCTGAGAGAGGCTGCAACAGACTTTTGGCTCTGTTCAGATGCTAAAGCACCAATGGCAGAGGCTGGGGGCCCGGGCGCCAGGAGGGCGTCCATAGATGCCAGGGAGCCCAACCTTAGGGCACGAATCTCTACAGGGCCATATTTTGCTCTTAGTGCCTTAGTATAGCAAATATATAACACTTTGGTCTATATCAGTTGGATTTGGAAGTTGGAAGGTGAGGTGCTGTTTTTAACCCTTTGGATATTTAGAGATCAGTTTGTACACGTGCCTTCTCCACTTGTCAGCAATGTGGGGATGTGTATGCTGAGAGGAAAGCTGGGGTATGAGCGTCATGATTTCCTACAGGGAAGCAGCTATGGCTTCAGTACCTCTACTGTGGTATTCCCTGGTGGCTTTTTTCTGGGTACTGCTAGATACAATGAGGAGCCCTTTCCTCTCCTCTTCTCCTAAGATCTTCTGAAATAAAAAGACATTCATAGAATGGTTTGGGTTGGAAAGGACCACAGAGATCATCTAGTTCCAACCCCCGCTGCCGTGGGCAGGAATGCCCAAAGCCCTACCCACCCTGGCCTTGAACACTTCCAGGGATGGGGCAGCCACAGCTTCTCTGGATAAGCTGTTCTAGTGCCTCACCACCCTCACAGTAAAGCATTTCTTCCTAATATCTAATCTAAATCTCCCCTCCTTCAGCTTAAAGCCATTCGCCCTTGTCCTATCACTCCATGCCCTTGTAAACAGTCCCTCTCCAGCTTTCTTGTAGGCCCCTTTAGGTACTGGAAGGCTGCTCTTAGGTCTCCCCAGAGCCTTGTATTCTCCAGGCTGAACAAGCCCAACTCTCTCAGCCTGTCTTCATAGGAGAGGTGCTCCAGCCCTCTCATCATCTTTGTGGCCTCCTCTGGACTCACTCCAACAGGTCTATGTCCTTCTTATGTTGGGGGCCCCAGAGCTGGATGCAGTACTGCAGGTGGGGTCTCAAGAGAGCAGAGTAGAGGGGCAGAATCCCCTCCCTCGACCTGCTGGTCACACTTCTTTTGATGCAGCCCAGGATGTGGTTGGCTTTCTGGACTGCAAGCACACATTTCTGGCTCATGTTGAGCTTCTCGTCCACCAACACCCACAAGTCCTTCTCCTTAGGGCTGCTCTCCATCCATTCTCTACCCAGCCTGTAGCTGTGCTTGGGATTGCCCCGACCCACGTGCAGGACCTTGTGGCCTTGTTAAACCACATAGCTTGGTGTTGTCAGCAAACTGAGGATGCACTTGATCCCACTGTCCATGTTGCCAACAAAGATGTTAAACTGCGCTGGTCCCAATACCGACCCCTGAGGAGCGCCACTCATCACTGGTCTCCACTTGGACATTGAGACATTGACTGCTGTCATTGACAGCTCTTTGAGTGCGACCATCCAGCCAATTCCTTATCCACTGAGTGGTCCATCCATGAAATCCATGTCTCTCCAACTTACAGACAGGATGTTGTGTGGGACATTCCCTCATGTTGTTCTTTTGTTGAGTGTAGCTTCTCAGTCGTCTCTGTGGGCAAGGATGCTGGTGCTGGAGGACACTTTTTCCTCCCAGATATTCTGGTATTCTGTTCTGATAGCAGATATTTTGATAAAGGAGCACAAGCTCTTTTCTGCACTTGTCTGTGAGTCGCGGGAGTGCGCGAAGGCCTCGGTTTTAGCCTAATCTGAGCCCATGGGACTGTGATGGCATTGTCGAATGGATAAAGTACTGGGTCTGGTACCCCTAGGTTTTATTCCAGCACTAGTCTGTTCTTACCTTGAGCTACCCATGTAATGATATTCTGCGAAAGTTTCAGCAGATGGATATAGCTACACAAATATAGAATGGTAAAAATTGAGAAGTATTCCTACAGCCAGGTCTCTTTCAGAAAAATAGTTTAGGCCATGGTTAGGAATAAGCCATGAATGTCCCATAACTATGCCTTGAAGCATCATTGGAACTGATCAGACTAAAACTGCCAAACTAATTGTTTTACTTTGTTTTGTTTTGTTTTCCCCTCCAGGAATATATGATGGAAATGAACTTTAAACAGTGGATGGTGGATTTTGTTAACCAGTCACTCTTGCAGATGAGCACTTGCGATGTGGAAAGCAAGCGCTATGAAAGGACAGAATTTGCTGAGTGTCTTGGAGAGATGAACCTCCGGTGGCACAGGCTGCAGGCATCTCTGAACAGAAAGGTTTGATTGAGTTCTCATTTCTTTCTCTCACTGACCTTGCTTGTGCCAGTGCTCTGTATTTTGCAATGGCCTTTCTCCCTGACTCTGAAAACACTATTGAACACAGTGAGACTCCCTGTGCTCTCAGCTGTCTGTCCATGCTGCTGTCTCATGGGCAGCCTGTGGAGTGGTCTCATAGCACATCAGCTACCAGGTGATGGGCAGGCATCCAAACCTCAGCAAGGTCTGGGAGGGTAAACTCTCCTGTAGCTTGCAGGGAGGGAAAATAGACAAAATCTGTTCTTTGTGACAGCCAGGGATTTACCCTATTTGACTGTATTAGGTGGAAAAAATAAGATTCCTTATATGAAGAAAATGTAGTCGGTGACATGTCAACAAAGAAGACCTATATTGAGAAAACTATGAAGGAGGAAGAATTCAGGGTAGAGTCTGCAGGGGAACCTGTTAGTGAAATCTGTTGAAGCTTTGGGGTGTTGTGAAAGTTGGGGCGTGTAAAACTTAATGGGAGAAAACAGTGGATGGTTTGTGGGAAGGAGAGGTGCTACACTGCTTGGTACAAACAGCCAGGCCCTGCTCAAGAAACACACCACCAAAAATACAAGCAACCTCTCCATATGCCATATGATGGGAATGAGAAATGGGGATATATTAAACTACCACCCGTTTTCCTGTTGTAGCAGTTTCATTTGCCAAAAACGTAATTATTAAGTAAGTAGTGTTGACAGCCCTGTTCAGATGGGGACATACAACCCTGCTGGAAAAGGAACTGCAGGGATCTGTGGTACCAGCACATCTTCTGTGTTGCTCTGTACAAAATCTGTTTCAGGCATTTCCTCAGAGTTACTTTAGTGAGGCTAGAAATAATCTGTGCATCCAGACTTAGACGCTGGTGCTTGTGTGCTCCAGTGCCCAGAAAAGCTAGTGTGACTCATGCGACACGGAAAAGACCAGGGGAGGGTTAACATCCCAAAATGCAAACTTGAGGCTTCTCTTTTTCTCTCCCGAACTTACAGGGCTTTGGGAGAAGCTGTCCTCCTTGAATGCACATACAAAGACTGCTGACCAAACAGAAAATTCCCAAATTTTTCTGATTCAGGCTTCCAGAAACATTTTCAAGTGGAAAATTCAGTTCCTGCACAACTGAAAATTTCCATGATGAAATTTCAATTTTGGGGAGGAAAATAATTCTCTTCTTTTCTCTAACCATTTTCAAGAAACTACATTCTGGGATTTAATGGATCCTCGGGGCCAAGACTGAAGATAGGAGACTTGAGGTCCCTTGCTTATTAGTAACTTTGTTGGTGGGTTTTAGGGAGAATGAGGTTTTCAGACTCCATATGAATGTGTCCATGTAGCCCGGGGTCCTCCAACTTGTCAGGTCCGCAGGCTGCCAGCTCTAGAATCCATACTGCCTTGTTTCCTTCCCAGGGAAAAGGTCAGATCCTAAAGAGCCAGTAAAACTTTTTATCTTTTCCTTTCAAAATATTTTCTCTAAATAGTATTTTCAATGTAAATATTGTAATCTCAAGTTTTCTTGTGGAAGGGGGAGCCCTGTTTCTGCCCACTTCTAGGTTTAAGTAAGTTAAAATAGTTCTGTAACTTTCAGATACAAGACCTGGAACACATTTTGGAGGATATAACTGAAAATGAGAATAAAGCACAGACTCTGCACAATTGGCTGGAAGCTCAGAGTGACCGACTGAGATCTTTACAAACCCCAGCAAGTCTGATCTCTGCACAGAACACATTAGATGATTGCAAGGTAAAGCATTATATGTGTGATATTATTGTAGAAAACATATTTAGCACTTTGCTGAATCCAGACTAAAGAACTTCACAGATTTTAACAGAAAAAATGTAAAGGAATTTGCCATTTCCTAGAAGAATACTACAAAGTAATTTTAATTAAAGCATAGGCGATAAAAAGCCAGATCCACTTTTAATGTGAATTGCTATTTTATGGGGTTTTTCCTCCAATTGAAGATGCATCTGCTGTTGTTCCATGGTATTTGGAGCATTGTGCAGCAGTATTGTAGATCTTGTTCTGAGATGCCTCCAAAAGAAGCAGTTCTCAGTTCAACACAGGCATGGCAAAAGCTATCAATTCCTTTAGTTTGAAGAGCTCTGCGGTGGAAGTGTCATGGCAACTACACGGTCCCATTTGGAAAAATAGCAGCTGTCTCTGCTCCTGCCCTAGAATGTAGTCTGTCTGCACCAGCCTCAAGAATCTGGGTGTCCTTTGGTTTTGTTGTGGTTTTTTAGACATCAGCTTCCTCAAAATTAGTACAGGTGCAGCCAGCTAATAATTGGCTCCTACTACAGTGGCAAGTCTGCTGGTTTCATTCAGTACAGTGTTCCCTCTCTAATTTTTAACGTGGAATATTTGTTCTTTCATTGCCATGGTTACGTGTCTCTCTCATGTAGTAGGGTGCTTTTATTGCCTAGAGTGCTCTGTTACACACCGAGTTACTTGTCTCTCTGAAGCACTCTGAAACGTTTTGAGGGGACAGAATGGAAGACACAGGGTATCTTTGACTAGAACATTAACCTGCTCATAGCAAAGTATGGTGCTAGGATGCAGGTGGCTAAAATGTTTCATTAAAATTAATTTGCTCAATAAAATTGAGGTCCAAATTTGAAAATGTTTTGGGGACAGTAATGGGGGGCAGAAGGAGGTTGTGGCTTTAAGTGTAGTATTATAGGGAAATGTTATAGCCCATTGTGTGTATGGATATTTACTCATGTTGTGAGCTTTGCCCAGCATGTCAAGACTAGCTTATAATCTTGATGATTGTGTTGTGGGGAGAAGTTATTCTCTGACGCATCTCCATTGATTTCAGTGGGGTTTGCCCTCTATCTAAAAGGACGAGCTGAAAATAACTTTCTAGAAGTTGTTAGGATGTCAGGGACCCTCATATTGCAAAATCAGTTCCTATTCAGTCTAAATCCTAAATCAGTCAGCTGGAGCAGAGGAGGACCCGAATGCTAACCTGCCCAAGGAAAAGTTCAGCTGCATTAGTAGAAAAACTTTTTGCACCTGGAGAGGTACAGAGAGGCTTGCGTGGTGGCTGAGGAATCAGATCCTGATAATTTCCTTCCCAAGCATGGTGTCCAGTGCTTATGCTGACCTAAATGGACTGATTCTAGCTCTACCTGCAGGAGACTGTCTAAAGCAGCCGCTGTCATTTTGAATTCCTTTAAAGCAGTTGTTGTTTATCAGAGTTGAAATATGGTGGTGTTGCTTGGCTGAAGAACTACACAGAATTGGTTTTAAAGAAGGAATGTTTATTTAAGCTGTTCCTGCAGAAGGTTTTTTCTGTAATCTCATTAAAAGATCTTTATCTTCCTTTTTTTTCCTTTTTCTTCTTTTTACATTTAGGAGCTAGAAAATCAACTCACAACTAAATGCAAAACTCTCGATGAGATCAAACAGAGTTTGGCTTTGAATGGTAGTGCAGAACAAACCCCAGAAGCTCTGTCTCTCAGGATAGCTGAGCTCTGTGAAATGGTGGACAGCATTGTAAGCCAGGTAAAAGCTTTGTTTGCATTCAGATTTCCTCTGGTACGTATTCTTACCGCCAGTGTTATTAATCTTCATGGGATGGCAGGAGCTGGTACAAAAAAGATGCAAAGTATTCCTTACTCTTAATCTTAACCTTCCTAGGAACTTCCTTTTAAGTCTGTACCATAACGTAAATTAATGTATTTCCAAGGTTGAGAGAGAAAAAAAAGTCTGATCTCAAAGTAGTTTGAATACAGGAGGAGAAGTGACAGACCCCCATCTGCAGTTTAAGAAAATAAAGAAATAGCACTGCTATTGTTCTGTCGAGTTAAAAATGGAAACCTTAAACTTTATTACTCAATCTGCTTCTCTTTCATACCCTGGTCTTTCTCCCCTGTAGTACACTGGTGGAAGCTGCCTGCTCCTGCCCCATTCTCACTACAGCTTTTTCATCTCCCAGTTACTCTGGATGGCTTTTGCTATCTTCAAATCCTATGTAGTTTCCAATCACTTCAAGGAGAGTCTGGCAGATTGGTTTCCCATGCAAATTGACTCCCCGACAGTTTGCATTTATAGTTATGCTATCTTTATACTTCGAACTGATCATTTTTATCTAGATGTAACTGATAGGCACAGAAGATATAATAATGAGTACATTTATGGATTTAAATTTGTGATAATGAATAACCATCTAATGTACAGGATTATACATGATGCAGTGATTGTATTTATAGTTAAGATTGCCTTACACTTTCTATTATAAATGCCTTGCTTTTGTTCCTCAAAACTCTGTGAAACCTGAACCCTTTTGCTTGAACTCTTCCACATGAGGTGGCGGTCCAGGATGGGTCTGCTGGTTCTTGTTTTAGGTTTCAACAGAAACGATGTGGCTGTTTCTTGCCCAGAAAGCGGAGAAATTTTTGTGTGTACATGATGAAAGTTTTTCCTTCTGTAGAGCTGGGGATTGAAATTGGCAGGATTGACAGCCTCATGCTTTTTTCTTCTTACAGTCACCATGGGTCACGTTAATTTTAGTATTTTTATGACTTAAGTATCAAACTTACAAACTGCAGAATGTTCTTACAGCCTAGTTGTCTGCATGTGCAAGGAAACACCGAGTGCAGCTTTCTTCCCATGGGTGACTGCTCTCAGCAGAGCCAGGCTGTGATTTGAAATATAGATCTAAGGAGATGTGACACCTCGATTGTATTGTCGGTAGGTTGATCTCAAGACTGTGAGTCTGTGGCCCAGAGACATTTCACGAGCACAGTGTCTGTCCATCTTCCTTGTGTGGGCAGTAATTAGCTGCAGGCTATGAAAAGCAATTAGAGATTCCTCCCACCTATACCATGATTCAAATGAAAATGGGGATGATTAATCCATCTACTCCTGCGTGCCTGGAACTAGGATGCTAGGATACAGTGAACCATGCAGCCTATTTAGCGTGCACTGTGGTGTAAAAAAGTCTTCGTCTTCCATTGTGTGGATGCATAGTCAGAACTGAAATCTGGTCCCATGGAGACATGCTTGTTTGCTTGCCTGGATTTCATGCTCTTCTCAAAGCATCTGATACCGGCGTGACTAAAAATAGATATTGAACTAGATGAATGTTTTGTCTAACCCAGGACATGCCTTATGTACTTACCTGATATAGAAAGATAAAAATGACAAATCACACTGAAGGAGGACTGCAGTGTCTAGGAGTACGCGGCACTTGGAAACCATGCTTGCCCCGATATAGATGAATCGACTGTAATAATGAAAGTGACATAGAAAACAAAGAGGATATCTGTCATTTAATTTTATATGAGAATCCTGAAGTTCCTCGACAGCGGTTCACGTGGACCTGTATTATTAAAGCACAATGGCATAAGAGGGATGATAGCTCTCCAGAGTATTGTAGTAGCATCTTCTTCCATACAAAACAATTTCTGTTCAAATTTTCATCAAAAGGAAAATTCATCTCTGGATCAAACTATCTGCTACCTAAGGAGATTAAGGCTCTCAACTTACTCCCACTTCAGGTTGATTTTGGCAGGAAGGAATAAGCAGTTCATTATTTCAGAATTTTTACTTTTTTGGGGAGTTCTGGAGTTGCGGCTGACAGAATAGCGCTACCTTGAACTCTGGTTAAATTTTTATTTCCAGCAAATTCTTATACTTCACTCTAAATACTGTTTACTGTTTGGTTTGAAGCCTGCACGGTTCCTTACCGAGTAGGAAAATACTCCAACTTGTGAAATTCTTGTGGATTGTCATGGACTGAGCCCTGAGCTTAGATTTTTAAGTCACTTTAAAGGTGATTTATATGTCAGGACTACCCAAGAAATAGTAACAAAATTGGTTCATTTGCAGGTTGCACAGTTAAAGACCTCAATGCAGTCAATACTGGAGCAATGGAGAGTATATGATGAAGTTTATGCAGATGTCAGCCTGATGACAACAAGATATTTTTACTGCATAGACCAGTGCAAACCTTCTGTGATGTCACTGGAAGCTTTGAAAAACCAGGTCAAAACTCTCCAGGTAAATCTACTGAAGTTGTCTTATTTCTGTACTTCCTTCTGTGCCTTTAAACAAATGAACAAACAAACTCCACTGAAAAAAAAAGACAGATAAATTTATTTGAGCAACTTCCTCTTTGCTATAGTGCCATTGAAGTCAGTAGATTTTTTTTTATTTTTTTTTTACCTCCAGAGACACTGAGGACTATTTTTAAACTTCTTACTCTATTTAGCACTTAAGTTCAGCTTTGGTGCCATTTAGGTACCAAGGTTCAAGAGAGAATTACAGGTCAGCTGCTACCATGTCTGCCTTACTGTGGGCTAGCAGAGCCTCCATTTTGCATTGCAAAGATCCCTTGACGTTTTAGTCTTCCGTACATGCTGGAAGGCATCCCCATACGAAGCACCAGCTCCTCATGCTCCCTTGCACTGCAGAATGCAGAGGGGCATGTGCGCTCCACCACCATGCCTCATGCTAATGTCTACACAGTCCATGTCTAAGACATGTGGACCACAGGAAGTTTGGCTGAAAATAAGGCTGGCAAAGGAAAACCTAATGCCATCACGGTATGTGTTTGCCTAAAGGTTACTCACCATTCAGGTGAGAGACGTTGGTTCTCAGCTCATTGGTCAAAAGGAAGTTTGCCCCTTTGCTTCTGCTTCCCAGGGAAATGCTCTGCCATAAGGCTGTAGCATAACCTGGAAGGAGATGCCTGTGCATCGCTGCTGGGACTCGGTGCAGAAATGAAGGAGAGTTTGGGGAAAATTGGCGAAGGGACCATGTCTCTAGATCTGTGATTTGAACACTTCACTTGGGGTAATGTGTCCCAGCTGCTGTGCCAGTGACCACTGACACACGTTGCATTAAAGTGTTATTTGCATTAAAGCATCTTTCCATGTATAAACAGCACTGGAGTCAAGGTCCAGAACCCAGGATTCCCCTTCCCAAAAGCTGTGGCTTGGGTTGGGTGGGGGCAGCAGCCCTGAGGCAGAGCAGGGGCATCCCGAGCCTGGCGTTTCTCATTGCTTCAATGCAAAGTCAACTGTTCAGTCGCCCTCCAGAGAGCTGGAGTAACCTGCGCAGCCTCTGAATGAGGCTGGGCATAAATGCTCTGAATCATCCTGCTGCTCTGCTTGGCTACGACAGAGTCTAAGTGGGACATCTAGCGTAGGCAGTCAGGCTGGCCCTGGGTCTGAACGTTTTACAGATATGGCTAAAATCTCCTTACCTGGCTTTAAACGAGTGTTGAAAGGTCGTGTAAACACTCTCTGTTTGTAAATAAGGCCTGGTTTGGTTTATTTTTAAATTATATCAGAAGTGGTGCAGGCCAGGCTGAAGCTCTGAAGCCCAGGTACGTGTCTCAGCAGTAAAGCCTGCATAAGCACTTTCCATCCTCACCTGGGGACACGTAATAACTGGAAGGAACTGGGCACCTTCTTACCTCCTTCCTTCCATCACCCTCTTTATTTTTAATCTCAATAAGTTCACAGATACGATCCATGGGAGGGTTCTGCAATTGCCTGTATCAGGAGGGGGAACACACAGCCAAGGACAGGAGCTGTCAAGCCAACTTTACTGCCAGTAGAAATTTCCCTGAAACAGTGGCTTAAAACAAAAACATTTTTGGTTTCTAGTGAATTAATTTAATCTGTTCAAGGCTATGTGTTTGTTAAATGAGCTTTCTTTAAATGCAAATAAATGACCTCAGTTTAAAATAGGCTTCTTGAATGATTTTTTACTTGTACCATTTCACCTCTCTTTTGGCTTCCTAATTTTTAGATTCTGATGGGGTTTTTTCACAAACATTTCAGTCCGTGCTGCAAACGTGTGGCATTATTGCTACACTATCCCTACCAATCTATAGGGGAAGCCATACTTAGGTCGTTCATCTGCACAACTAATTGCCGTAATCGATTTTGCAGTCTCTTCAAGATGAATCGGAGAACAGTGAAGAAATTTGGGCCAAGCTCCAGGCTGCTGCCAGTAACCTGAAGAGGAACTGCTCCCCCTCTTTTGCAGAGATTATTGAACGGAAGTGCACAGAGGCACACGCTAGGTAAGCTTGCAAAAAAAGACCCCCAGTTATAAGTATTTAGAGAAAAAAAAAAAAAGTTGCTGAAGCAGGACTTGAAAGTCTGTCAGATTTTTAAATCTATATTAATATGACTTTTGTGTCTAAGGCTACCTCTGTGAAGAGTAGCTGATACTATCTTTTTTGACAGACCACAAAATGGTGTTGTGTCAGTCGGCTTTCAGTAACATGGGTGTGAATGCAAAGAAACTCCCACAGGAATCCTACACCAAATCATGTTTGGAGGAGCATCTACTAGGAAAATTCTCTTTTCCTTTAATATGTTGGCAGGTGGAACTCAGTAAATGAAGACATCACAGATCAACTGCAGGCAGCACAAGCAACCCTGCTGCTTTGGGAGCCCTTCGATACTTTATGCACTGAGGCAGCAGCCAAGTTAGAACAGCACAAAGAACAGTGTACTCAGCTCTTGGATGCTTACATGCCCGAGGATAACATGATAGAAACTCTGAAGCAGAGGATACAGGATATAAAGGTACATGAATATGTTTCTGCTGCCTGGTACAAACCAGGATTTATTTTTGAGAAATGAATCAAAAGAACACCTTCTTCCCCTCTCCTCCCCCAAATCCAGTCAGCAGAAAACAAAATCTATGGGTTTTTTTCCATTAACAGACACCTTTGTATTTCCTTTAAATACTTTGACCATATTGTGAGACCAAACCAAACTAGAGTTAGCACAGGATGAGAAGAGAGCAGAGGGAGGAATCATATTCCATCTCTGCCCCTTTATACAAAAAGTCAGGCCCATGTTGGAAGGAATCATTAAACTGAGAATTATTTACTTTATGGGACACTGCTTGGGAGGAGAGATAATATCTACTAGAACAATAGCTGGGTAAAAGATACCAGTTTTCCGGAACATAGGACCATCTTGAGGTCTTCTGCAGTCTTCAACTTGGTTTTATTTGGTTTTGGTACTTTTTTTGGCCTGGTCTGATAAGTTCACAGATTTCTGAGCTCGTTAGATTATTCTAAATGCTTCTGACTTTAGGCAAATGAGATCTCATGCTGAGACCACAGGATACATTGGATTCTCTCATGCAGCAAAGCTGTCATTAGGTTCTGACATTTTTGGTTTCTTTAGACTGCAATGAAGAAATATAATAATCCTTATTTCAGGACAGAGCAATGATTCATCATGCTTTATGAACCTCTAGCCACATATTGGAAGAAGTCCAAAGTACTCCATTTTACATGTGGCCAATTAAGAAACTTTACATTATGGGAAAGAGAACTCATATACTTCTTCCCATGTCTGAAAAAACTGACAGCAGCAAAGCTTAGACCAAAACATAAAGTACTCTGTTTTACATGTGTCCAATTAAGAAACTTTACATTATGGAAAGAGAACTCATATACTTCTTCCCATGTCTGAAAAAACTGACAGCAGCAAAGCTTAGACCAAAACATTTTCACTTTCTTCTGATCTATTAATGGCTTTGACATAAATTCATCAGTATGTCAGCCAAAAGACACCACATTTTCTGGAAATTTTTGAAAGAATTTTGCACCTACTAAGGCAGGCATGACCACTAGAGTGCTATTAGCTCTGTAAATGCTGTCCTGATATGTGTGGGTAGGACACATGAAATTCATTGTGGGTTTGGAAAGTGGTGAGTTAGAAGAATGGGATCAGTGATATGGCATATCAGTTATGTGTATTTGAAAATACAGGTTCATTACAAAACAGTATTTTAACCTCTTTAATCTTTTTTTCCTTTAGTATACATTAGGAAAGATTATGGTTTTATGGAACTCTGTCACCAGAATAAATAAAAGTGAAGTCCTACGTAGAGAGTAAGAAATCAAATGGGTTCTTTACTAAATGGCTGAAGTGGCAGTTTACAATATAATCCATTCCAAAGACAGCGGTCAGGAAGTAAGAGCCCATTTGCTTTTTAGGGAAACATGGCTGCTCTTTGCTATCATTGAGAAGTCTGTGTTCGTTACTCACAGAAAAGACAATATACAGTGGCAAATTCCAGGGGGTTTCATGGCTAAAAGTAAATGACAGTTCTAGAAATAGGTACGTTTCAAGATGACATCTTGCCATTCCTTGTCCGGGTCAAAAAAACCAATCAAGTACATTGAACAAGTATAAAATGACTGCCTTTGTTCTTGTACTACCTTCAGAGTTTAATTTTATAGCATCATTTCTGTAGTAAAGGGGAACAAATAAAAGCAAAACCATAGTCCTTGGTCACTAAGGGATCCAAAGTACTGTTACGTTTGTAACGTAATAGCATTTCTCATCTGCAGCATGGGCCAGTTTCTCCATCTGCTAGTGTAAATCCATTTTGTAGAGAGGGACATCCTGATTTCTCTCCTTAATCTCCTCTGTAGCAGTAGTATCCCACTGCCTGAAGTCACTGGTGTTCCATTGAACTTTGAACTGTGCCTTTCCCAGCACTAGAGTTAATGGATGCAACTCCCTTTATCCACTGAGTAAAAGACTGAAGCTTTCACCATAGCTGAATTTGGCTCCCGAAGGAGATCAACAAAAAGAGCTTAGTTACAGCAACAAAAGATAGTAAATGAAAGTGGCATATGAATGACGATCCAGTTCATTTGCTGACTTTTTTTATTTCCCCTTCTCTCATCAGAATTTACAGCATGGCCTTCAAAACATAGCAGGATGCCATACCCAGATTTCTTTGCTGGCTGATCGGATAAAACAGCAGGCTGGGACAGCTGCACAAGCCATTCTGTTGGAGAAGCAGCAGCCGCTCCAGAGGGCATCCTATTTCGAAAAGATGTTGCAGAGGAAGTTAGAGGAATTGGAGGTATTTTTTTGAATATTAAATTAGCTGTCAGTGTGAGGTAACTTCTTCACTAGACCTCTGTAGTTCTTGAATTGAAATGAAATTTCAATAAAATAAAGCTTGACAGTATGATCAACTATGTAAAGAAATAATACATCAAGCCAGAGGGGCAGATGAAGGAAGAGTTTCACCATTCTTACCTGCTTGTGTTGCTCTAACAAGCCTTTTTAAGAGGACCTATTACAGTCAAGCAGTACGGACCCTCAGATGATTACAGGTTAGGAAACGTATTTTTATTCTATGAAATTCTAAGTAAGCTATAAACTTCTCAGCTCTTTCTTGAAAAAACCTTAAGGGCTTGGGTTTGCTTTGATAAGAGTGCACACAATGTATCTAAAACCAAGCAGAAAACTGTGATCATTTGATGTCATTCTGAAGACCAGATTCACATCCCTGTTCAAGCAGCGTAGGGAGGGACCTGGATCCAGGTTTCCTTATACGATGCTCAGCTCACAGGAGTGCTGTGGGGTTGACTTCCCCTCTGTGCAGGTATTCCTGAGAAAACTTCCAAGCAAATGTACTGCTGTACATTTACTGATGTAAAACTAGTCTGTTCCTGTGAAAAAGTCTAGTTTCAATGAATTGTTCTGTTCTAAAGTAAACCTAAATTCATCAAGAAATTTTCAGCCAGCTCTATTTATAACTCCATCTACCAGCACAGTTCAATGGCTGGAAGCCAGATATCTTTGTGAAGATAACAGATTTCTCATATTCCCTGTGAACTTCTCGCTGCATGAAAAACTTCATTTCTGGGTAGTCATTTTCTCTGGTGTAACCCTGTAGCATTCCCACAGAACAGTCTCTCTCCCCATGCCAATTTTTGCCATTCATTCCTTATAAAAAAGTTGGTGTTTCAGTGTACTTAGCGATGTGGAGCTTAATTCTTGCCAGAAGGAAAAAGCTTCCCTGGTGCTCTTCTCCCTGACCCAAAGAAACCAATCTAGTGAATAAAAAAGTTGAATTCAAGCCCTAGTTATTTCTCTCCACAGAGCTCAGGTAAGCTGCACAGCCTTGGCTGTAGGCACACGTGTAGCTCAAAGGAAGCTTATTTTCACAAGTTTCTTCCCTCTGATAAACCTAAGTTTTGGTTTTCCAATTTCACAATAAATCAAACAGCCCAAAGCTACAAAAAGGTATTGCAGATACCCCTATTCCTTCCAGATAGAGATGAATCTCTCAGGATTTAGAGATTCAGTTTCTTGCTCTCTGCTTTGGCTTAAATTTTCCCCTTATACAGTGCAAAAACAGAAAAAATTCAGTTAGTGAGTTAGAAATACATTGGAATTTGGATTTAACATCTGTTTGGTTTCCTGATGATACTACCTATTGCTTCTTTTTGTATACTGAATATGTATATTAAATCATAATTAATGTAAATATGCAATATTTACTCTAGTTCAATCTTTTACAACTGGAGGAATTCAAGAACTGCCTTGAAACGCTGGAGGGTCAGGTCAAGAGTTGCACAGATGCCTTCGATAGTCTTTGTCTAGAGGAAGAAACAGACAACTCAGAATTGCTCATGGTATGTTTGGATTCCCAAGTACAAAAAGATACATACTCAGGATTTAGGTGTCCTAGGTATTGTAGTTATAGCATTTCCATCAGAGTAACTATAATCTCATCCAAAACACAAAAAGCAATGATTTATGTTCATAAAAACTCTAGATGTGCATTGCAGGCCAAACGCCTGCATGGAGGGGAGGAAAATCGCATCGATTTGGGGTTGATGGGAGACCTTTTTCCCCAGCTTTGCTCTGGAGCTAGCCTTTTGCCCTCAATGTAGGGTACAAAGTAGATCTGCAAGTACTAGCTCTTGAGTATCTGTTCAGTACTGTTGGAAGAAGGGGCTTTGTGTTAAGGGAATTGTGATTTTTGTTTCCTATATTCTTTGAAGTTAACGCAGAAGTGTTGGGGGGTTTTGGGTTAGCATTTTCGATGCATAACATTCAGATGCTTCCTACAGAAGAGGCTTCTATATTTCTTTGAAATGAAAGAAAGGCAGTGGTTTTTGCAATTAAGTTTTTTGGGTTTTTTTTACTTCCAGAATCACACATTGGAACTTGCTGCGCTTTCTCCAAGCATAGAGAGTTTGAATGAAGCAAGCCTTAAACTGCCACTCAGTGACTTCACCCTGAAGAAAGTGCAGAGCCTGACTCGGCAGTGGAGTCAGAAAACAGCGACTGCTCTGGAACGCTGCAGGTCTGAAATGCAAATTAAAAATCACTACTAACCATTTCCTTTTCTGTGAGGAAAGTCAAAACCAAATTAAAGCACGGGAATTCTTGCAATCTGTTTTCAGCTTTCTCAGGGGCTTTCCAAGTTGGATTCCTGTCCTTTCAACCTACATCCAGATTATTCAGTGGTTATTTGTATTCCAAGTCACTTGAAGCAAAAATCTGGATGTTCATGGGTGAAGAAGGTAGCAAAGCACCAAGCAAAATCCTAGTATATTAGTATTGCTAACCACTACGTTAGACCGTATGCAAACATATCCAGAAAAACCACTATCCGCACAATAGTTTCTGATGATTTCTTTTGTTTTACAGTGTGCTTGAGGGAACTCAAAATGATGAAAAGAAATTCTTTCAGAAATGTGAAAACTGGATGAAATTCCTAGAAAAAATGAAAGAGGCCTTAAAATCAAATATTCCAGGACGGTTTGAAGAACTGCAGGAGCAACAGAGAGTATATGAGGTAAAGCTAACTCTAAAAATGGAAGTATCATTTTGAATGGTGAAGGTGGGGGGAAATTGCTAGAAAATACTATGCCTTTTGAAAGTAGATTTGGGCAGAGTTTTACAGAGCATTTCGGTCTTGAAATGTGGCCTTGTACTTATTCAGAGAAAAACTTTGAAATGTGAAAATCCTTCTCCAAAATGGATGGATTGCTTTTTAGCAGGGATCAGACCTTTAGGAGTGCATCCTCAAGTGTTGCATCATGGAAGTCCTAGATTTCTCCAACCCTGAGGCTACTTGCCTGTCTGTCTGTCCTACATCGCCTAGGCAGTTGGCTGGCGATCTGGCAGGAACCTTACCAGTTTCTGGAAGAACTGCATTTAAAACAAAATGTTTTCACAGAATATTTCTGTTTTGACCAGTTGTTAGGTTTTGGTGGAAATCTGTTTCAAGGGCATTTTTCCAAACGCTTGCTATTTGTTACAGAGAGTGAGCACTTCACACGTGTATGACAGTATCCGTTCAGAGAAGGTACATTGCATGCTAGCAGTAGCATGTGGATACAATTCTAAGCAAAGTGTCTATCTATAGACTTTGTACTAGTGGCAGGAGGATGGAAAAACAACCAAAATACAGAAAAAAAAATCAAGTGGTAAATGCTAAAGATCTGTTAGGGTGAGCTTTGTGCTGCCACAGCGGACCAGAGCTTCACACTGCCCAACATACTGCTGCTAATTCCACGGGGTGTTAAGTCTCTGCATGTTAGTGACACTCATTAGGGTCCACAGAAATTTATTTTCTCTCTTTTACTTAGAACTCTCCAGTTCATTCATTGCAATGAAATTATTGATAGAATAAACTTTTGCTTGTTGTGATAAAGAGTAAATTCACCCTTATGTAGCTTTTTTTATACCTTTTCTATGGGATTCTGTCCAGATTACATTTCTCATGAATGAGGCCAGCAAACTTTAGGCTTCAGATTACCTGTAACATACAGCTACTGGTGGGGTTTGATATTACATATGTGCAAATTCCTCCTGGTATCCAAAAAGTGTGGTATCTTTTAAGATGCATTTGACACTAGCACTTGAGAATAATAGAGCTTTCAGCATTTAAAGTTAAATAAACGCTATCATTCTAGAATCAGCTTTCATAGCACAGGTTGTTCAGTGAATAGTTAAAACTGTTTTTCTCATGGTATTTTCAGATGCTGCAAACTGAGATTTCCATAAATCAGCAGACATTTAATTCTATCATAGCAAAAGTTCTACTCTCCTTGGAATCTGGAGAAGCAGAGAAAAGGTAATCTATGTGTTTTTCTCCCTAAGTCTCCTCCTTGGAGTTGGTATTGAATCTTTGCTCTCCTAAGGACAGAAATCCAAATTCTTGACTGGGTTCACCCTTTAAATACCCCCCTGGCACATTTTGCAAAAGTATGAGGAGGTGCAGTGAGAAACAAACACGGATGCATTGGCCAGACTGCATTTTGGATAGTAACTGGATGTTCTGCCTAACAAAAATAATTGCTCCTGAACAGGAGGCTTCCTTGTCTACTGCTACCCTGCAGTCATTGAAACTGTAACTCTGGTTGAGAAGCTACCTTCTTACAGAGGGTGAGGAGGATGCTGCATGTGATGGATCCTTTCTCTCTTCCTAGACCTCTCTGCTTTTTAAAATGCAGAGGTGTGAGGCTATCCATGTTGCCCCTGGCACACATGACAGAGCATTGAGTCATCGGCCACACAGCCCAAAACATATGGTAGCTAAACCTGTTTTTTATCAGTATGATCTTATACTTTTAATCAATGTAGAGTGAGAAGCAGCAAGTAATATTTGTAAGCAGAGGTTCAACTGCCTCAGGCATTTCTGCTGTGAACACATTAGCCCTCTCTGCCAGAACTTGCTGCTTCCAGAGAGTTGGCAGGACAGTGTGCGCATTCCCCTCAGCCGCTTCAATATAAAGTCCATAGCTTGGCTTAAAGCTGCCAGGGAAGGTTGGGCTAAGCTAAGCAAAGCTACTGGATTTTTGTGTTGAAGCTAGCCCTACAAAGGTGTTTGTATACGAGCTAATCTGGGGGCCATGGCCTCCTGCAGAGGAGCGGAACTGATAGATGGAGGTTGTCTTAGCCACTCCGGCTAGAGCTGCTGGATCATCTAACTATGTTGTAGGAGTGGCCAAAAAACTGCTTGAATGGGTTCAATAACAGAACAGAACCTTTTCACTTTGCAGTTAGGTCCCAGTGCTGTGGAATACAAGGATGGTTGAACTCCTGCTTACAGCCTGGTAAAACCACAGATCAATGTTGCCACATAATCAGAGATCTTGTCTCACTTGCATCGACCACCTTCTTCTTCAGAGAAGTGTTTAGTGCGTACTGTTTCTGTGATTGCTGTACTATATATGTTCTATAACACAACAGCAAGAATGACTTGGATTATCCATTCTTGTATCATGTCAAAGGGGTTTTTTTGATTGCTTAGAAGATGGAATACAGAGAGCAGGGCTGAGCTTAGGGCTGCATAGAGCTTTTTGCATAGTTGGGTATTATAATTGGAATACAATATTGCAAATGGAAATCCATCACAATTATTGTAAAATGCAGCCTTGAGGTCAAAATATATTAACACTCAACACTTGTCATCTTCAGAACAGAGTTTATTTCCAAGCTCACATTGCTGAAAGAGCAGTGGCAGAACGTTATCCGGATGATTCAGCAGAGGAAGAAAGATATCGATGGACTCGTGAGCCAGTGGCAGCTCTTCAAGAGTTCCATGCAGAGTCTCAGCAGATTTCTTGCTGATACAAACAGCTTCCTCTTAGCAGTGAAGAGCCAGGACTGCTATAGCCTTTACCAGCTTCGCAATCTAATTCACTGTTTCAAGGTACTGTATTTATTTCTCATAAATCTAAAATCTGTGGTTTTTCTCAGACTGAAACAACTACTGTCCAGTAAGGTAAAAAGCTTTGAAATCATGTGCTTTTCTGGGAAAAACAATTGCTGACGCTTTTTCTGAGAGCTGAGCACAGATGAGAAAACAGTGCCATTGTGAAAGGCTCATTAAAACTTCCTGGTCAACATTGTCATTTAGTACCCTTGTACACTTTAAAAATATTACTGATACGAACATGGAAACACAGGGTACCCTCTAGGTCTGTATGCACCTTATGGATGTGGTTCCTGAATGCAGACCTTGCAGTTTGCCTGAAGGAAGCAGGCACCTATGCGACAAGACGGGCCGTGTGGGTCCTGTGTGTGCAGGGACGGGCAGGAGGTGCCGGGAGCAGAGGATAAAGCACTCGCAAGGAGGTCTGTCCTTTGAGCCACCGCTCCAGGATGCACAGAACTGGGCAGCAGTTCTTCAGGGCAGCGAGTTCTGCATTTTACGTGCAGGGGGAAAAAAATATTTCCCTTTGTTAATCTTGGGTATCTTGGTTTTCCATTTAATTATGCACCTCTTTGTTTTATAAGAAAGTAAAAAACAAGCAGTGAACTTGATGGTTGCTTAAGGCAATCTAAAACCTTTCAAAAATACGTTATTGAATGCTATTTGCATGGTCCAAGATTTATTGTGTTCCCACACACCTAATGTTGATGGATTAACACATTACCAGTATTCCATTTGGCGCTTGCCCTATTTACTTCTTTACTTTTACCTGCTGTGTAAAGATGATTTTCAGTAGATTTTATAAGTTAGTGCTCATGTTTTTCCTTAGTGAGAAAAGCCAGAAAGTCTTCTCCCTCCTACTCCAAATTGCCTTTCCCTCCTGTTGCTGTTTTACAGAAGGAAACAATGATCATATCTGCTTGTGTTATAGCCCAATTTGTGTTGTAGGCAAATTATTATTGACAGCTTACTTCACTTGGAGTGTGTCACGATTAACAGAGCTGTTATCTCTGAAAAAGTTGTCTTAGTTATTGATGCTAGAGGTGCTAACAGAACTTAAACTGTTTTTTATTCAGAATAACTCAGACAACTGAATTTCCATCTTTTTGTAACTGCTGCACTTTCACTCTATAGATTCAATCTGTGAAAAGCTATTGTAGAGTTTTATAGATCAGAAGATCAGAAAGAATCTGATTTTTCTGAAATTAAAAAAGTAGATAGGAGAAGATCTATTCATTACTCTTTCATGAATGTGGACAAACTAATGCCTTGTAACTCCCTTTGTGAGTCTTCACTTCTTCCCAAGTGAAATGCCAAGAGTGTGCTTCTAAAGCTTCCCAAGAACAGCTTAGAAACTTACTTTATTTTTTTTTTCTTTTAAAGAGTCAGGCAGTGATTCTTCAGAGGTGGCAAGCCATGTACTCTTTAATTATTGATGTTGGGGAGAAGTTACGCACTGTCTCCGATCCTGAGACCAATGCTGTTCTCCAAGAGGAGCTCAGCCAGTTACAGCAGAGTTGGGGGGATACCCAAGTCCAGCTGGAGAAGAAGAAGATGCAGCTCAGCAGCACTTTACAGGTAGATGATGCCCTTCCCAGGGAGCAGCAGCACCAGCTTCCCTGGTGTTGGGTCTTGAGAGCTTCCCTGCCCCGCCATCTCCAGGGCTGAGCTCTGTAGCAATAAGGCAAATGCTGAGCTGCTGCTCGCTGCAGAGGGGTCTCAGGGAAGTCCCTGTCATGCACCATCAGGGCTTGTGGGAAGCTAAAACTGTGGTCCCTCAATTCTCCAAATGAAAATGGAGTTGGCATCCATTTGTTGCTACAATGGATGTTTTCCCGCTCTGATTTTTCTCATTTCCCCATGGCCTGGAGCTCTCTCCTGCTTTGGGCTGCAAAGCCTGAGCTAAAATTTAGCTTAAGAGGGAGTTAGCATGACTTGTTGCTCATCCTGTTGTTGTCCCTCTAAACACAAGGGTTAGGTCATATTTAATTCCTTAGAACAAGGAATTTGCTTTCATGGGTAGGTAGCACATAGGTATGTCTTAAAATTGAATACTGTCATCGATACAATCCCCAGCCCAAAAACTATGCTCAAAACCTCTCAGGTTGGACAAAACCAAATGAGCAGAAATGCTCTGTAAGGCAAACATAAAATATAAGAGAGGGTTCCAGTTTTGTAAATCCATGCATCAAATTCTTGTGGGTGGCACTATGTATCAAAAAGAAAATCCAAATAACCAGAGCACATGATTGTTTACTTCAGTGGGTTGAAGGGGCTATTTTGTAGCATATCCACATGGTTCAATATGTCATGATAAAGTATCTCAACCTTCTATCACTTCCCTGTCTCCCTGAGCAGAGTTGGGACTGCTGTGAAAAGCAAATCAAGGAACTGGAAAGCAGGCTGCGAGAGCTGAAGGAGAAAGTAAAAGATCCACTTCCAGTTGAACATGAAGAGCTCTACAAAGCCAAGGAACACACTAAGGTATTGAACAGCCATATTGTACTTAAATAGATGTAGTCTTTGCACAACACCTGATCTCTGTAAAATCAGTTTTCCCCCTTACCCGCTCTTCACTGACACTGGATTTCTCTCCTTGCTACCATCTTGATTGCTGCCAATCTGCAAAGTCATAGAATCACAGAATGGTTTGAGTTGGAATGGACCTTACAGATCATCTAGTTCCACCCCCCCCGCCATGGGCAGGGACACCCTCCACTAGACCAGGTTGCCCAAAGCCCCATCCAACCTGGCCTTGAACACTTCCAGGGATGGGGCACCCACAGCTTCTCTGGGCAACCTGTTCCAATGTCTCATCATCCTCATAGAGAAGAATTTCCTCCTACTTTCTAATCTAAATCTACCCTCCTTCAGCCCATGAAAGTCCAGCTGACCAAGAAGATTACGAGAAGAGTAGCAGTGTTTGGATTTTTTTTTCCTGCTTCTGCTCCCTTTCAACAGTCTGAATTTATAAAATAAGCAGTTCTTCAAACAAAAGGGAAAAAACTCCCTGGTCTCAGCTCAGTTGGCTGCTATCCTAATGGCTGAATCTCACTTTTTGTTTTCCAGTCCATTTTGGACAGGGAGCTCCTCAGGCAAGACACCTTGTAAGTCTGCAAAGCACCCTGCACACCTGTGGGATCTGAGCATAATTAAAGAGAAAGAAAATTAAGAGTAAGGGAGTGGCAAAAGCCCTGCAGCCCATAGTGCACCATGAAAATTAAATGGCAAGGAAAACATTTCCAAGGGATAGGAGACATTTTGTCTGGACTGGTCAGTCTTTCATCATCCCTTTATGAAGTGAATTGTTGACCTATGTAGTGGGAACAAATAAGCTCATTAACAAACCAAGGCTTTGAACTCATTATCAGCTGTCTGAAATCTTCTTTGTGAGTGCTGGCTGCCTTTCCCACGACAGCAGTCTTGCTGTAGCCCTGAATTATTTGTGAGATGGCAGCACACAGCTCCTGCCTCTTATTCCAGTGAGAGAAATTCAGCCGCAGAGGTGTCAGGGTCACAGTGCCAGTGCAGTGACTGCTCTTGAGTGTCACAGTATAATAAAATAAAGGACCAAAATGGCATGAGGGAGAAGGGATTTCACTCTTCTATGGAATAAAGCTGGTATTTTTTCTCAGGCATGGGCTTAATAGAGACTAGCAAAGTTCTGTGAAATTCCGTCATTAGCTCCATTAATGCAGGGATTTGACCCTTGTTAAGATATATAAATGCATGTGTGCACATCTGTAGGGAGGAATTTGTTGTGAGCTCAGGTAAATTTTAGTCTCAGGTTCGTTTGGCTTTTTTCCTCCAGTGTTGAAGCAGATCAGATTTTATTTTATTTTTTTTAATGATGTAGATAAGTGACAGGACCAAAGACCTGTGAAAATGCTCACAGGGCTTGGAACCAGCACTTCTCCTGATACAAACACAAGGTTTTTTTCCTTTTAAAATAAGACAGATTGGATCCTCTGTAATAATTTTTTTTTTTGTTAGAGGAGCCCAGTGACACTTCCCAGCAACCGCCTTGCAAAATGGGACCTAGTACCTGGTGTGCAGGGTATCACGTTTCCCAGCTGCATGCAGTGGTGTCTCTGCTTTTTAGGTGACAAGTTTAACGCTGATAAGGAAAATGCGTAACTTTGTTATAAAGGGAAGGGGGAGCCAGGGGAACAAAGCAGAAACGAGAGCATGTTTCTGGGAACGAGCAGTTGAAAAGCTCCACATTTCTGAACAAATCTGCTGAAGTACCAGTGAAATCATTCATTAGAGAAGGGAACCAATTCTATTCTTTTAGCATTTAAATAAATAACCTGAAATCGGAACAAATGCAGGTGGAAAGTAATTTGGCCAAAATAATAATAATTAAAAAAAAAGCAAAGCCAAAGAAGTGGGCACGTTCCTTCCTGGATGTGAAACCCCAGGAGCTGCCCTGGAGCACGGGGAGCTGCAGGGGGTCAGGGCAGCGTTTTGGCACTTGTGGGTGCACCAGTTAATCGGCAGCAGCTCGGCCCTGGGCTCCGAGTGGGGTCCGGAGCCAAATCCCCAGGGACCCTGTCCGGTCCCGCCGGAGAGCGCTGCACAAGTGGCTGCACATTCCCCTCCTCTCCTCCCCCACAGGGCAGGCAGGGGATTAACGAGCAGGTTTGGAAACCAGAGGAGCTTAGTGCCAAGGCTTGTTCTGGGTGCGTTTCCATGCAGGAGCTGGAGCAGTCGCTGGCAGACTGGGCCCACAACATGAAGGAGCTGCGGGCCATGAAGGTGGAGCTGGCTCATTGCATCCTCACCGAGGACATGATGGTGCTCAAGGAGCAAGTGGAACATTTGCACAGGCAGTGGGAAGAGCTATGCTTGCGAGTAAGTCTTCCTCCTTCTCTGGGATTTTATAACGGGATATTGATAGAGCCTGGCAGAAAAGGGGGAGCGGGGTAGCAGACAGGATTTCTCATGGGGTTGGCTCGCTTTTGCAGTTTTGGGTGGAGATGGTGCTTCTGGTGCAGCTGACCAGGGCTGAAGTTTGCCCTTTGTTTCCTGGACACAGACTGCTGATTTTTTTTTTTGTTTGTTTGTTTTGTTTTTGGGTGTTGGTTTTTTTTTTTTTTTTTGCAAACCCTTTGTAAGTAGTGAGTGCCTGAGTTGCAGAGAGCTGAAATGCAGCTGTTTACTGAAATAGGTGCCTTTGTTCTGGGCTGCCAAAGGTCCGGGGCGGGGAGAGAGGAATAAACACGGGAATTGCCTGAGGGCATGAAGGAGGGAAAGGGAGGGGGAGGTCTTTGCAATCCGATGTTAAAAAAATGCCAGGAGAGTTGATAAAACTTAAATGTGTTTAAATGCCAGCTTCTTGGGTTTAAACACACGAGGAACTGACTTGTCTTTTCTGTAGCAGTAAAATACTGTGAACCATTTGCATTCTTTGTGGCTTGTTGCTGCGTTACACTTCATTTAGTGCTGCATGTAAAATTGCTGGGGAACATTTACCAGCAAAGTCACATGAACTTGATTCATGAGGTTATTATGCAGTTCGAATGTGTGTTTACTTTGCCCCGTTAACAGGATTGGAAGAAGTAAAATACTTTGGGGTCTTAAGTTACTCTGGATGGCTTTACATGCCAGCAAGCCAGACTCCTGCATCTCTTTACTCACAAGTCAATAGCTTTTATGTTACAGTTTGTGAAGAAGTATTGAAGCAAGTTAATATTTTTTGTCTAACCCTTACTCAGGCAAAGGTAAAGATATCTTGGTGGGAATATTGCCAGAGTAATGAACAGCTATGCTTATTTCACAAACTTTGGTGTGATGAAATAGTTATTTGAGTTTATTTTTTGTGTTGCAATGAAAAAGAATTTAGTATCTTTGCCTTAAACTGGACAGTTAATCTACAACCAGTGTTTTCTCTGTTATTGTTTCTGAACTCTGAAAATAATTGCAGAGACACCCCACTCCTACCCCCCCCAAGAAATATAGGCCATTATTTTTAAATCAAAAAGCCTGAACCATTTTCCTAATGGAAATCTGTAGTTAAGCCTATAAATGAGGGAATTTGTTGGTTTTCCTTTTTGGTGAATTGCTGATGCCTGCTATTTAAACTGTGGTGAAGAGCCCTGAAAATTAAGCTATCTTTTGTATCTACCCCACTACAGCCTATCCAAGTAGTAATATCCAGTAGTAATTTAAGTTCAAATTTTATTCAAAATTTCTATTTTAATTTCCTGAGGGAACAACGTTTAATTCAGTCTATGTTGGAGAGAAGAAAAGGGTGACATTAATGTGGCTCTGTTAGGTACACAAAAATCTGTAGTGGGAGGAATCTATTCAGTGGTGCAGCGGAGGGCCATACAGAAATGTTTACACAGCACTAATGAGGCTGCACTGATGCTCAGTGCTGGACAGGAGGGTAGGAAGGCAGATGTCATCGGTACTGCTGCTAGCACGACTGCTTTGTTTTGGCTAACAAATTAGAGGAGTCAAGATGTATTGTGTGAAAAAAAATACAAAATAATCTGCGGTATCAGTGCAGAGAGGTGAAAGCCTTTAAGAGCGAGACGCGGCTGCAGCTGTCATGGCGATGGGAGTGGGGCAGCCAGATGCCTGTGCCGGACTGGGCAGGGACACAAACACACTTAGTGAGCAGATGCACTCAGGGGATTAGCATTTACATAGCAGCCTTTCAAGGTACATGTAGGTCAAAGATTTAACTATTCATATCAGCGAGTATCCTGTCCTGATGAATGCTAGTGTATGGCTTGGATGCCTGGGCCTTCATATTCTTTTCGCCTCCCTTGGGAATGCCCACATTGCTCCTGCAGCACGCTGTGGATGCAAAACTGGTGCTTGTATCCTGGGGCAGCTGGTCCGATGCGAAAGTGCTCAAAGCCAGGCCTGGCTTGAAGGCCTCGTGTTCCTAGAACTTTGTCTGGGATTTTTTGGCTCATTCCTGTTTTACCCCCAAGCTGTGTTGCTTAGCCTGCTAAAAGGTACTTCCTGCTCTTAAAATCCTGCCTTGCCACGCACTTAGCAGGCAAAAACGGAGTCAGGATCATTTTGGGATTTAACAATGGTTTTGCTGACATGCATAGTCTCTTCTTCCATGGACCAAGTTAACTTGCTTCCGCACATGGGAAATGCTGCAAGTGGTAGAGGAGGGATGAGACATTTACCCGTCATACTTCAGAGGCTGAGGATACAAGGGAGCATCCCAGAGCAGAGACCCTCTTAGGGAGACTTTCTGAGGTCTCCAGGAGACTTCTTCCCAGTGAGAACTTTGGAGATTGTTTCCCTCTGTCCTAAAACAGGCTTTTGGCCTCCTCTTTGCTTAGATCAGCATGAAAGATTTAGAAATCACTTTCACCTCCCTATTCCCTCCTTAAAAAAAGTCAGAATTTAAAGGACAAAAGCAATATAGTGGGAGATCACTTGGTGCCTCCTGTTGATCCCGGTGTTACGTGGAGCTTGTCTTGCTTCTGCACGACACACTTAAACTTCACTCTGAGGTACAAAGTAGTGTTAGAGATTAGTATGTAGTAATTATATATTTTATATTCCTTCTTTCTTTGGCATTTTCAAGTTTTCACTGAGTAATATTTAAATTGTTATATAAGCTCATTATTTATAAAGCTGTCACTCAGTTTAATTCTTCTGAGGGAGAGAATCTGGTGTTTGCTAGTCAACTTTTGGCCCTGCTGTCCAAAATAAGATGTAATAACAATCTGCTTGCTGGCTTTGAAAAGAAAGCTAGAGATATTTGATAACTGCTCCTGCAAAATGGAATATGATCAAACGCAGACTAGAAATTAGAAGGCTCATAATTGCTGGTTTCCTTCCTGAGAAAGACATTGCCAGCAGTTAATGTGTGTGCTTATCCATAGGTGTCTCTGCGAAAGCAGGAGATCGAGGACAGACTGAATGCCTGGATTGTGTTCAATGAAAAGAATAAGGAACTGTGCTCCTGGCTGGTACAAATGGAAAGCAAAGTGTTGCAGACTGCAGATGTTAGCATTGAAGACATGATAGACAAATTGCAAAAGGTAAGTAGTAACTCCACTTTTCTTGAATTGCAGTCTGATAGCTCGTTGTAAAGACACCGTTCTCTATTTCTTCCTTGCCTCTCGGAAGCGATACGTGATATAAAACCAGCACGTACAGGCTTTTGAGGGAAGATGAGCTTTTCTAGCCTCAGCTCTTTCCTTCTTCATGTTCGGACTTGGAGCATAGTGCAAAACAGAAATGCCACCTGGCTGCATTTGGGTATGGAGTGTGATGTATGTGAGCTGGGGTGGGGGGTCTGGGTTGTTGGGCGCACGTGCACACACAGCCCTGCTCAGAGCCTGCCCTGCTGGGGATCAGTGGTGTCCTGGGAGCATCTCACCACCTCCACCTGTCTCAGCAGTTACGAAACTGGTAGTCAGAGGGTGAAGAAAAGATTGAAGGATGGGGTAGGTCTTACACCAGGCGAACAAGAACTTACCACAACCAAAAATAAAACCTGATTCTGCCTCTTCTCCTTGGTAGTCAATGCAGTTAGTGCTTTCTAATACTGTCTTCTTAGCTTGATTTTAAACAGGACCATTATTTTGCTGCAGTGTTCCTCACCATGGCTTAAAGGTCTCAATATCTAATCCCAGATCTCCTCTGGTTAAGAATACCAGCAAAATAAAGCCATCCTAGACTTGAATTTGGGTTCTTTTGAGGTAGCTTAATTGAAAAATTACATTAAATCAGGAAAGCGGAGGCAAAATTAGAACATTAAACTGCTATTTTTAGGAGTACTTACTCCGGGCACTTGCAAATCTTTAAGCTGCTTATTTTTTCATAGTGGCTTCATTGTGAGAGTGCTTTTCCAATGAGGGTTGGTTTTTTTTTAATTTAAATGAAAGAGTTCTACATGCTAATGTAGAAACCTCAGCCATTCCAAGCCAAACCTGACTTGACATCACATGGGAAAAGAAACAGATAGTTTTGGTTTGGTTTTGTTGGTTTGTTTTGCCCAGAAATTAAGCAATGTTTGTGTATATTTATCAGGATTGCATGGAAGAAATAAACCTGTTCAGTGAAAATAAGCTTCACTTGAAACAAATGGGCGATCAGCTAATCAAAGCTAGCAACAAGAGCCGAGTTGCAGAAATAGATGATAAACTCAACAAAATCAATGATCGCTGGCAGCATCTCTTTGATGTCATTGGAGCACGGTAAGAAAATGATTTTCAATATTTTATGTAAGAGTCAGAGTCAGATGGTCCTTGACCATCAGAAACAAACTGACACCACTTTTCAGTTCTGTTGAAATTTATTATTGAGAGTCAAATTAAACTGAAGTTAATGTTTTTTCGTTCTGACTTGTTGCTGTATTACAACACCAAATGTCTTAATTTATCTAATGGCAGAGGGCAGGATGTAAGAATTAATATAAAATATAATTTTAATCATGGGAGCTATGTAAAAGGAAGGGTCAAAGTGATTTCTCTGTTGTACGTGTTGAATTGCAACTTAATTTTAAGGCAGTATGGTAGGAGTTCATTTGGGCTCTTTAGGAGAACATCCTGTTTTACAACAAGCCTCTCTTTCACCCTGTACCTGAATGCACAGAGTTTGGGAATAGATTCCTGGCCTATCTCTGTAGACAGTCAGTTTTATATAAAGATAATGTTCTTTTTTTACATTCAAAAGTGTATGAAATTTCATTTAATATTAGTGCTATTTCTTTACTCAGTCCATTTCCTAAAAACAACTGTAAGACCAAACCACAGGTCTATTTTTTAAATTCAGGATCTTCTGCATGATGGTGAAATGGAAAATACTATCAGTTGAAATTAAAACAAAACCCTGCGTTGCCCAGGCAATGACCTCTTCTTAAAGGATTAAACATCTTTATTATACTTGACAGAATTAAGAACATTATAATCATTTTAGTATTAGCCTTACTGAGACGATCCCATTTCACTATTATCTCTGAGTTTCTACCACAGCTTGGGAGGAAGATGCTGGGCTGGTCTTACCACCTGCCTGAGTTTCTTAGTAATCCAGAAATAGTTAAGGCTAACACCAAATTAGTATTGGCCTAAACTTCTCTCCCATGGTTGTGTTTCACCTGTAACCCTTCTCTGTGGGTCTGCAGAAGCTCTCTTGCTCAGTTATCATTTGGAACAGGTAAGGCAGGTAGTTGTGCTGTGGCAATGTAGTGCTAAGTGTGTTGGATCGTAATCAGGAATGAGATCTGAATTAATGGTGACACATGAGCCATGAATGATTAAGCAGAAGCTGCCTTCTTAAGATCTAACACTTTGCAGATAGTCTTGCAATGGTTTGTTTCAAGGTGTCTTTTTATTTGATCTGCTGTAGGAAAGAAAGCTTCACTTTTATAACAGCACATTTTCTGTTCTCATCGTATGGTAATATGACACTTGAAAAACACTTTTATGATTGTGTTTTGCTGTGGGTTAGTTTTGAATTGTAGCAATTTTAAAATGCAGATTAAAATGTACTATTTTAAAACTGAGGTAAACGTGGCACATTTCTAGTAATATTTATGCTAAAGAACTGATGGGATATTTAGAGAGAGATCTGGCAGTCTTATTCAAGTAGTCTGTGACAACAGAGCACTTGTTTGTCTACCTGAGATGTCTTAAATCTTTACATTCAGACAAGTGTATGGTGATGCTTTGAGGTACGTTAATGCAGATTTGCCTGGAGCATCAGCGCAGCTCCCAGTATTGGATATCCAAGTGGATATTGCGGCTGTTGGGGAGTTGGTGTGATGCTTTATCATTGTTCTTAATCCCAAAATGTCTGGAACACGCTGGCTTCTACTTGTGATTTCCACTAACTTTGTGCTCAGGACCAGGGTAATGAACTGAAAGGACCTGCCAAAATGTGGTTTTAAGCAGCTCCCTCAGTGGTCCAAGATTATCAGGCAGCCCTGTAGGCTCTGCTGGTCCTCTCGGACTTAATACTAACAGAGGTTCAGTGTATTGCAGCATTCAGCAGCATGGATATAGCATATCTCCTCCCTCATCTACTTGACGTCTTTTAAGCTTGGCTCACAGCTTGGCTGTTCTCAGCTGCTCAGCAATAAATAATACCAGGCTAGACACTCACAACAGAGTCTGAGTGTGGTCGTAGGGGTTTATTTTGCCCTGTTTACAACCTTGTGACTTTCTGTTTTGAGATCGCTGCTATGGTGGTGGCTTGCTGCTGAGATTTGAATTCTGAAGGAATTAAATTAGACTTCAGTTGACTGAAACTTCTACCTCACCCACAGGTATGCTTTAGGGCTCTAAAGAGGAGGCTCCTCCTGTGCTTTTGGGTAGCCTCTCTTAAGCTCGGGCAATGGAGAGGAGGCAGCAGTTCTACCGATCACAGATGTGACGCAGGTTGGGCCTCTTCATGGGGGAGCGGAGCAGAGCAAGGAACCTTGGGCTAGAGGCAACCTGTGAGCATGGGTTGCCATGCCCCATGATGATAGACTGTCTCCTTCCTTTTTTTTTGCCTTTGCAAAAACTTTAAAAAAATATATCGTATTTAAGCTGTGCTGAAAGAGCACATGAAAATAGAGTGGTGGCAAAATTCGTGTTGACCCTTGTCGTGGTTTAGCCCCATCCGGCAGCTGAGCATCAGGCGGCCGCTTGCTCACCCCTCCCACCCTTTCAGATGGGGAGGAGAATTGGAAGAAAAAGGTAAAACTCGTGGGCTGGGATAGGGACAGTTTACTGGGACAGCAAAGGAAGAGGAAAATAACACCAGCAGTACTTAGAATATACAAAGCAGGTGATAGGCAGTGCTCCTCCCTGGCCAGCCCCCTTTATATACTGAGTGTGTGTCCTGTGGTATGGAATACCCCTCTGACTACTTTGGGTCAGCTGTCCTGGCTGTGTCCCTCCCCAGCTTCTTGTGAAAATTAACTCTATCCCAGCCGAAAACCAGGACAGCCCTGTTGGATGAAGCCATCGCAGTTTGGACATCTTCACAGGATCTCAAACATCCGCCATCACCAGTTTCATTCACTGGATAGGATGGGTCAGAGCCTGTAAGGTGTGGTATGGGGGCTGTGCCCCCACTGCTGCCCGGCGGAAAAGAGACCGCAGTGCTGCACAACTGCTGCCGCAGCAGCATACCCGGATGAAGCCTGTTGTATTGGGCACTGCTTCATTTCTTGGGGAAGATAAAAAGGATAGAGGAAATGCTTCAGGGCAGAACTGCTGGAGGGCCTTAGAGGGTTTGGTGAAGGAGGTAGGAGAATAATGCTTGGAGGGAAATGATGAATTTTGGCTGTGGCGGGGAGGGAGGCAATCTTCTCTTGCTCCTGAAAAAGCTACTTGCAGGAACAGCACCTCTGTGAAATGAGGTGGGTTTTGCTCCTGGCTTTTCAGACGAGTGGCAGTGGCAAGTAAATTGAAGTGAAAATTTTCTGAGGTTTTGGGTGCCAAATCTATGACTACTTGAAACTTTTTTTGACAAGTATTATGACTGCAGCACTTTCTGTTAAACACATAACCACCTGCTGCCTTTATCCGTGCTTGCGGGTGCACCACAGCCCACTGCACCGCTTCCCTTGCCCCCAGTGGCTGTCCGTCACCGGGGCAGGGACCAAATCTCACGCGCCGTCTTCATGGCCAGCCAAGACTTGGGCAGTAAGTAAACTACAGAGCTATGCACTGAGTAGGAGGAGAAAATGTAAGTTGAATAGCTGTGTGTTCAAAGCCAATCCTCCATCTGGGTGCTGAATCTTTCTAGTAGACAAGCACTTTATGATCCTGTGGTTAAAGACTGTAAAATAACCCATATCCACAAGGGAGTCTAATCGAGATTTATAGGCAATTTCAGTTCTGTGGTTTCTAGTGTCTCCAAGGTTGACCCTGCAACCTGAGTAACATTTTATCTTTTCTGTAGTGCAGTGTATGTCTGTGTGATACCAACGTGAAACCAAACCAGTCTCAAGCCAAAGTATCAATACAGAGCATTCCTCCTGATAGCTTATTTTACCTTTTTAAACCAATAAACGTCCTGGGACAGATGGGCAAATTAGGTGAGCTCTCCATTTAGTCCTTGAAGTGATTCTCTTAGTTCATGGTGACAAGCTCAGATTTGCCATATGGCTGCACTTGCAGGACTTAACACTTTCGTTGTATGCCTGTGCCCGGCTTGTGTGGTGACAAAAGCTTTGCTGCATGTGTTGCAGCTGGAGGGTGGCTTGGTGCAAACTCAAAAAGTCTCAGAATGCTAATTCTCATGGCATAAAGTAACCATCAAGACATTAGCATGCCTGGAAAGGAGAACAAGTGAATTTTTGTTCAGCTCAGAAGATACTCTTACCAGGGGAGGTTCTCGTGCTGAAGTCTCTGTTGATAGAGGGGGAATACAAACATACTGACAGACAAAAAGGGAGCATTGTGCTGACTGTAAAAACAGACACAGAAAATCTCTTGCTTTTGTTCTCTCATCACCAGCCTTGTAACAGCACTCTGCCAGAAGAAACTGCTGCGTGCTTGCACATACACCCAAGCGAAGGCCTGAAACAGTAGGAGAGGGAGCGCACAGGCTGCACGCGGGTGGTAGACAGCCAAAAACCCGTGGAGTGGGATTTACATCCCTGGCATGCTCTGGAGCAGCTCTCCCCGGCCATGCATTAACTGGCAAGAATTGCCAAGGAACTACGTTGTGCACAGCCATGTCCCTCAGGGGAAGCGATTGCCTTCTGCCCTGCTGCTCGCATGGTGCCTGCTGGCAGACTGGAGGAGTGCCCACGTGTCACGGGAGGGTGTCTGTGCCGCCTGGGGTTGTGCAAAGCATTTGGATGGTGCTTGAGCCTTCATTAAAGCCACCAGCTTCATCAGGGGCTGCCTGCAGCAGTTCTGGGTCTGGTCCCTACACTAACAAATGTTGCATTTCTGTACCTGTGGGCATCCTGCAGCTCTTGCCGCTGCTGCTAAGCTGTGGAAAGGGGATGCCATCTCTCAGCTACTCTGGCTGTGGGCACGCTGCAGTGTGGTTTTTTACTTGGTGGGTCTGGTCCGTGTTTTCAGCCTTGTGGAGAAAGGCGCATTTTTTGTGTATGTAGCAGGAAGGGGTTCAAATGACTGTGACCTTTAATGTGAGCATGAAAATACAGGGAAGCTAGCAAGGCCAAATGTGCCTTCTCATTCTTTTAAATGTGAACCCTTGTCAACTAGGTCTTTTCCCTGTGTTGGCAAGC